CTACACTAGTATACTTTCAAAAAATTGCAATTTTGCAGTGTCCCTTTTTGGAAATATTTTTCAACTATGTTTTTGTACAATATTGGACGACAATATTAAAATGTTTAATCTTTTTTATTTTCTCGAGATCTTTTGTCTTATAAAAACCTAAACGACAAAGTATATATTTAATTAGCTTTTAAAGTTAAGAATAATTTACTAAGAATGCCTATTGTAATACATCCTTAGACAATTCCAATTTTAATTGTTTTATAAATAAATCTTTTAACTATAGATAAAAAAAAAATTCGAATCTTAAAACTACCAACAATAATGGTATTATTGATGAGATCGCATTGATGGTCTACCTAGTAAGATGGCCATATCCGACGATACGTGTATTTGCTACAAGTATAGTTTTACAGAAAATACAGTTTCAGTATTTAACGCTTTAAAATAAAACTGTCAACCGAGGCGGTTTTGGTTTTTGAAACTTTTCGACGCACGATAAACAAAACAATGTATTTAATTTTTTACTCACTCGTGTAAACAAAGTGTCCTCCTTTGCGTACATAGTATCTTCTGATGGCTGAGCAAGTTACAATGCGAACAACGGTAACGGACAAAATACAAATCTACACAAAACGTGTAAGGCAATGTGGTTTTTGATACTTATTTTTCACTTGACAATATTATTACTGATACGGTTCAAAAAATATATCATCTAAGGTTAGGCCCACGTCGGATAGACAATGTGTTGCTGCGGTACGTACCGGTTCGTTAATGAAAAAATAAATTAAATGTATCGAAAACATAATCGTTAAAATAAACGTTATGTAATGATGCGACCGGCGACATGTTCGCATGGCGTTATCAAAATGGCTATGGTGACAATTCGCCCCGTGTCGACATTCGTCCGAAACGTCACTCCAGTCACCGTGTAGCCTGTAGGTATCAAGATTTTCAGGAAAGATGTATTTAATCTATTCGTAACGGGATTTAGGCACTGAACTCAATATATGGAACGCGTATTCAGATTGAAAAATGATCCCACCTGGGAGGCAGCCATTTTGTGTACATTTTTATAAAAAGTGAAAATTGTACGTCATTTTTCCATGATATGTCTTTAAATGTTAGGTTAGGTGATGATAATTTTATCTATTCTGTGATAACACCGTCATATATATATGATAAATCATAGAAAAAACAATAAATATCATGGATAAAACAATAAAAGTACACAAAATGGTAGCCTCCTACCCGGGGACATTTTCATAGGCAATACGCGTTCCATATATTGAGTTCAGTGGAATTAGGCGGAAAACCTTAGCTGCCGTGGTGTAACAAAATATTATTAAAATCGACTTAATAATTTAAAAATGTTGTTTTTCGTGTTGCCCAAAATTTGAGAATTTTTTCAGAATGCTGAGATAATTTTACATATTATGAGTAAATTTCAAATTGTGCTCTCCACAAAAACGTTGAAAAAAAAAGGTAAAATTCCATAGAAAAGTCGAAAAAACGGAAAATGATCTTATTTTTACAGATAATTAATTTTATTAATTTGATTACTGTCGTTTTATTTCGTTTTAAATGGGGGGGGGGGGGGTAGGTGTACTAAACCTAAGAAATTTAGGCGAAGATCACCTTGAGTCAGGCCTTGAAAACTTTAGACATCCCTAATTTTTTTATTGTCAAATATTACAATAATTTATAAAATATAATTTTTATCATTTCTGACGATTACAATTTATATTTACACATATTTCTGTACAAATTTTAAGTCGTTACAGTCCTGAATGTAGTGCTAATTTAACTGTCTATTATAATTTGTCTGCGTTGATAATATTCTATTAAAGTTGCCTAATGATTCAGATGCACAATAGCAAACTCTAAAACCTTTATTGATGAATACTCTGAATGCCATGTTAATTATGAATATTTTTGTGAATGCGGGATTCCTGTTATCGCGACCTTAATTAAGTTATATATCTTTGCCTATATTATTATAGGAACTCTGCTCAAATACACAGTATTGGATTGTAGGCGCTACAAACATAATTTAGAACAACATCTAAACATTTTATATTGTGGGGTTTTAAAAAAAAAAAAAATTAAAATATTAACCATTAAAACATATTGAGTTTTTTGTTTCTTAATTACTAAGCTTATCTTTATGAAGACGTATGCATAAGTTATAAACATTGGGTGATTCTTTTAACATTTTTCAATTATGTTTTAGTAGTACAATACTTACATCTACGAGCTCTCTATTCAGAACAGCCGTTAATAGAGACCAAATAGCTAACATGATTGCCAACGTTCGATAACGAATACGGCACTCAAAGAACAAGAAGTACAATACTAGACAATATATTAAAATTGTTTATATTTTTAGCTCTATCTATATATATAAAAATGAATGTCTGTCTGTTTCTTGGTCTGTCGTCCTTTATGCATTGGTACACTATTTATCCGATCGTCATGAAACTTTGGGATGTTGTTTGTAAACTATTTAGGTCCAAAATTAGCACAATTAGTACCTGAGAAATGAAATCTAAACCAATTCAAACAAGTTGTTTACCTGAACTGCTGTCAAATAAAATAATGATAGTACATAACAAACTAGGTAACTTTAGTGACTGCCAAACCACCATTTTTTTAAGAGTAAAATTCTATCAAACCATTTTTCGTGATTGAAATACTGTGTTACTTTGAGTGAAAATTAAGCCAAAAATTCATTCACCATTAAAAAGATGAAAAGTTCAATTGTGTACAAAGTAAAATAACTAATACATGAAAAACTAAAAATAAAATAACTAAGCTTCGCCTACTATCTCAACACGCATTAATAACCCTAATCCGGGACCTAAATTAGTAAGAGATGGGTTTTCCTATCAAAGCAAAACCAAACTAAAAAAAAAAAAATAGGTTTTTCTTCAAATTCGGTCTACAGATTTAGTGCGCTGCTAGGGCTGATGATAGTACTGCTTCTGAATTACTATCATATACACTACTACTCAAAAGTGTGTTTTTACATATTTTATATAACTGAAAAATAAGTTCTGTTCATATGTTTACTATAAAAGAAAAATAAACGGAAAACAAGAATTTAAATCTGTCAAAGAAGAAATAAATGACGCCAATGTAAACTGAACCAAACGCTTAGCCCCTATTTACCTATGAATAACTCAAGAAATATTGATATACAACAAAGTAACATATACAGGCAAAAAGAGACTCGAAACAAAACCGCAAAACAAATAAAATATTATAGCACCAAAACAAAGGGATTAGTTGGTAAAGCTTATAGTTTAAAAATACATATATTTACGTAATCGTTACATACTAATACTTAGTATACAATTTTAAAAATATGTTTTGAGATTAAAAAGTGCCTTACTTGAATTCGTTTTCCACATCTGTTGTAATTGAACGTTTATCAGTCATAGGAATACCATTGTGCGATGTGGTAATATGATGTTTCAATTGCTTTTTGGCTAAACACAATTCGCTTTTTTTGACTGCCAAGTTGTTTGTTACTTGCATGTCGATAGGCCTCGTTTCATCAACTTGTATCAACGATTCAAAGCAATAATTTTCCATTTCATCAAATTCGTGTTTAACATGAATCCCGTTAATCATATCGTAGTTTCTAAGTAAAAAACAACAAATTTTATAGTTTTTTTTTTATATTATATAAAAATGAGTTATATTTTACATAATAATATTTTTATGTTCAAGTAAAATCTTGTTTTTATTCAATATTTTTATATTATGTATAATGTTCACATTATGAAATAATGTTATATAGATATTAAATTTTAAAGTCAAACACTAAATATAAATTTCAAGTATGTTCGTATGTGAAGTAAGTGATGAAGACAAAAGAGTAAAATGTGGGCTAGTGTACGAGAATTAAAACATGGCTACTGAAATGTTATAATTTATATTATATTTCTCCAACATAGCTCAATCATACTATGTGTAAGTTGCTATTTGATTAATTTGTTAGGAAAAGATTGTTGTGATATTTTGAAATTAAAAATCGACTTACTCGAAACCATTATCAAATTCTTTTTTAATTGGAGTATCATCGATCTTAGAAATACCATTGTGCGATGTTGTGATATGATGTTTGAATTGCTTTTCGGATGTAAACGATTCTAAACACAAATCGCATTTTTCGCCTGCCAAGTTGTTTGTTACTTGCATGTTTATAGACATCGTTTCTTCAATTTGTAACAAAGATTCAAGGCATTTATCTTCCGTATCATCAAATTCACGTTTAACGTTAATCCCGTTGATCATCTCATTATCTCTAAGAGTAAAAAGAACAATTTTTTTTTTTTTTATAAATTAGTAAAGGTAACTTCTGTTTGGAATGTAGTGATGGGAAATGATGACAATTTAAATAAATAAAAATTGTCTTTAAAAAAAGTGTAATTATTGAAAATTTTTCTCACCCGAATCTTTTACCGGTAGCTTTTCTATGGGGACTTTTTCGGGCTGAAGAGATCACATTACAATGCGATGGATAATTAAAATTCTTTTGGAAGTCGACCACTTTTCGACACGAGTTGCAATCGAACGGCCGTATTTTGTTCAATCCGTACTTATCACCGACTTGAAATTCCAATTTTCATCCATTTGACGTTTCCCGTGGACAGTTTGACACTTATAAAATCGTTATATTCTGTGACATTATGACAATTAAATCATCAGAGGTTTACAATGTGTTTCTGGCGTTTTTTGACATTTGTAGACCGTAGTGTGTATTGTGTATCATAATCAGTAAACACTAAAAGAAATGGACTGATAGTAGAGATGATAGATAGCTTGATACGAGGGTCAATATCGATTGGATATTTTGTTTAAGCCCAGCGCGCTTCAATATTTACCTTTACCGCGTTCTACCTCCAGCCGACCATAGTGGACCGCGGTCGCCGCTGTTATCATAATGTGTTGTTATCTATTCTGTGTTAGAGCACTCTGTTTGTAATTTGTATGTACCTATCATTTATCAAGAGGCACGCAGTATAATACAACATAATGTTTATACTTTAATCTTTATAATAACTAAGGCAGTGACACTGGGTTTTCTCTAAAAGACAAAAGTTATTATTCATTGTGCGATTACATAATTTATCAATAATCATTCCGGATCAGCGCTGTGCCGTGTGGACTGTAAATCCGAGGGTCTCCAAGTAGCCGTGTAAACGTAAGTACCGATATCAACATTATCATCAATTACGATTTACACTAGTTGTATTAATTTTAATTTTTCATAATAAACCACAGTTGTACGGTGTGATGAGAATTTTTAAAACATTGTTGTACCTATGTAAAGTTAAGACTTATAGACTGAGGTGCGTTATCAACGGCCGTAGTGATGATGAAAACGCTAGTTTACAACCATCCGGTGTAGCAGATGCCACGATTCTTTTCTTATGTAAACATTCAAATGTTTTTCTATAAATTGGTTATTTTATTACCATGTTTTGCTCGATTGCACCTAAACTACTGAACCGATTAAAATCGTTGCGATAAACGTTCATTGGTAATTTAAATACTTGTTGGATACTTAGGATTTTATATCTTGTGCGACATTGGGGATTCCAACTCGATATATTTTTTAAAATGTGTGCCTACCTTGTGACTTTTCAAAAATCCATATTATCTTGAAAACTATCCATAAAAAAAATTGTTTTAACGTGTATCTTGAGATCAGCATGCCAATTTACATCAGAAATGGTTAATCACACCTGCTGCACAGTTTTTTTTTTTATCATATTGTAGAGTGTAGACCATTGTAATTTATATTAGGTTTTGAAACGCTATAACTTTAATTGCCATTTTTCTGTTACTTTTATTTTTTAGTATTAAAAGTATAATATTATTGCTATACTAATTATATTGTTCTTAAGGTTCTTTTAGCTTTACCAATTAGCCAATTTCTCAGTTTCGTATATTACAAAGAGTAATATATTGATAATCACGGCGATATCAAAAGTTAATGTAACCATTGATGTCTATTAATCTAGCATAAACCTAACCTAACCTTCGGTTGCGCAAAACCCACATCGTTGAATCAACAAATGTTAGTAGTACACATTAATTTGTACATACAAAATGCATGCTGTTTTAGTTTGTCGATTGTATGAAGGCTAATACATAAGGGATGATTTCAAAAAACACAAAATATTATTATACCTATTATTTATTTATATTGTTTTATTTCTTTTATAATAAGAAAAGAAAACAATCAATGTAATTGTATATATTTATGTACATTTCGGCGAATCGACAAATGGTAAGCAATAAAAGGGTAGAAATAAGGTTAGTGTCTAGAGTTAATGTAAAATTGTTACTATTATTAGGTAGTCATTGTTCATGTGTGTTCATTTATACTTTCTCTCTAAACAAGTATAATCTATGATTGGCAGAATTTTTTTTTTAAATTAATTATTTAGAGGTAAATGAAATAAATTTGTACTTTTTGGCAGAGGATATTAGTATTTTGATTAAAAAGGAAATTAATTAGGCTATGTTAGTATTATATATTTGTGTAAGGTAAACTAGTATATCATTTTTAAAAGAATATGCATACGATTTCACCGGCTATTTGAACCTTCTAAAATTGTAATCATGGTCCGCTATTAATGGATGAATATAGAATTGCTTAATATGTGATATTCTGGTTTAACGTCTCAGACCTTTGTTGGGTCTATGTGGTATTCAAATAGTTTTCTATAAATTGGTTTTTGAGAAATTAATTTTTTACTGTGTCATAATTTTATTCTCATTAGACGACCTAGGCCATTAGGTCAAAAATTCATCCTGCACTCGTGTTTCATTTTTATGTGTTTAAATTTGAGCTATGGTAGTTTTTAAATATTAAATTTAAGTTGTTTTCTCAATTTTATAAAATATTCTTTGTTTTTAGAGAAGTAGTGAGAAGCAAACTAAAAATCAGAATTGTAATGGAGAATTATAACTACGGGGCCGTGATTAAAATAGATGAAGAAAACGAGGACACAGAAGAGCAATACACCAACGCATTAGTGAAAAAAACAAAACTGAATTACATTGTTGAATCAAACAACAGCTATCCACATTTATTCTCCAAAGCCATTCGACGGGAATGCATATAAGTAAAATGTATTTTTTTAATTAAAATATTTTAAATCAATTTTATTAATATTGTTATTTTCGGTAAAGTCTGGTCGAAAATGTTTTAACAGGAACAAGTTGGTCACTTTTCCCAAACACCACTAGTTAAAAAAAAAAGTTGTTATTAATGTAACATCTTATTTAACGATAACTTCCAAATATTGGGACCACAAATAATAATTGTATTATTAATAACAAAGCTACACGTTAACTTGTGGAATAAGCGATTTTTCATTGGAAAAAAAGAGAATATTATTTTGTACTATTTCATTTTGAATAACATTTTTTTTAATATTTTGACTGACCTCATGACTTATTTCAAGATACATGCATGGTAGAGTTAATAGAAGAGCACCGTACCATACTTGTACGATTAGATTATTTCTAACGTTCAGAAAAGGGAGTGAAGGATTCGGTCGTGTAGTCGCCTACCTATATTATGGGCTCTCTAAGAGATAGCATACTATGTTAAGATTGATTGCTTGTAGCAAGTATTTTCTAATTCTTTTTTTTAGCGCTGTAGTAAAATATATATTTGTTGTTTTTAGTGTCAGTGAAACATGCAACGAAACAGTAGTCCAAGTCGACGAAGTAGACACTGTGAATGGATATACGTTTGAGTCTGTGATAGAATACCAAAAAAATGGGCCTTTGGATGTGCAAACGACGGACTACGGTCTGGACTACGCTCTAATTTATTAAGTTAAGAATACAACTGTGTATCAAATTTGTCATTTTTTACTCAGTCAATAATTGTACTATCATAAGAATATCCTTTCCAAGTCTTTCTAACTCTGAACTCTACTTAGTCATCTAGTAGTAAGTAGTTTATATTTTAAAATTATGGTTTCTGAAGTTTGGTTGAATTATATTAATATAATAATTTTGCCACAAAATCTATGGGTTTCTATTAATATGCAATTTTATGAATTCACACCGTCGAAGCTAAAATGTTATTAAAATTGGTTTTTGTAATTGAGATGCGTACATTTTTTACAATTTACCAATTTTAAGCCTGCTAAATCAGATTATGTTAGACCTGCTTCAACAAGTAAAGTCAATTAAAAACAAAAGTATAAATGTAATGTGTGCTCTAAGGCTTTTTCTGCAAAATCCAGCTTCAGGAGACACGCACGATTACATACTGATGGCTAGTGTGTGTTTTAATTTTTCTTACATAAACCTGAAACTATTACAACCTACACCGTGAAGTTCAGTCGATAATTTATATGATTTGTTTTTCCGTTTGACTTGTTTATTTTATAATTTGTTAATAATTGGAACTTAATAGGGTACGCGTTAATGATTTTAACCACTAGATTTAACATTAAACAAAATAACCAAAAAATGTATATTTTTTTTTGTAATATTAAGCTGATTTACCCCACTTAAGTTAGTAACTGTTTGACTAGTTATTTTTTTGTTTATTTTAACAAATGTGTTATTATTATTACTTTTATTTAATCATTTTGTATATATATTTTGTAGCATTTATTTGGAAATTTTCTTTGCTTAATTAATGTTATTTATAGTAAAGATATAAAATCTACTTGAACCCTAAACCATAAAAATTATACACTTCTTGCGTACACGTGTTACAACAACGATGTTGTCATCTTCAGCGCTAACAACAGACTGTTAATTAATTAATTTAATTAAACTTATTGCGTAAATATTAGTATAATTATTGTGAGTTCACCGACAAAAATGGATGTTTATGGAAATAGTTTTTTTAGCGATAAAATAAATGTGATGAATTAATTTTTAATTTATATTGTATTGTGCTTAGAATATTTTTTATAATTTTTATTTTATTTTATATTTTTTCTATAATTTGTTTGGTAGTTATTTTTATTATGACGATTGTGAAGTCAAGAAAAAAGTTCCTATTAATTATTTGTATATTTTTATAAACATTTGTTTCAAAACTCATAATAAAATATATATGTAAATTAGTTTTGGTTTGTGATTTAGTAATTTTACTAATACTACATAATAATTATGAAAAGAGTTTAAGAACTTATTTGTTTATGAAAAGGGTGAAATTCGTTCAATCTAAACGTTGGTTAAACAATAAAGTTGAATAATTAGAATTCAAAAATGTAAATGAGTATAGTAAATAAGAATTAATATTTTATTTTTAAGTAAAATTGTATGTGAAAAACAGTTATTTTTCATTTATTGTTTCTTGGCTTGATGTGTATGCAGTATAACTCGCCTTAACACTAGTAAATTATGGAATAAATTTGTCCATCTAATGTTAGCAAAAGATAAAGTAGAGAAAATAGTAGTTGACATCAAATTCCATACTGTTATCATTGTATTATACAAAGGAGCTATTATTTAATGACGCACAGTAAATTCATTATTATTCTTATTATATATTGTATTGATGTCTTCTAAGCCTGTGAACCGATTCTAGCATTTAGCAATCATACCTAAACCTGAGAAATCGTACCCAAAAGGAACCTTATTAAGCCAAATATTTGAAAAGTTCTTCTCTTCTCCTTCAAAATCATGAAAAACACCACACACCCGTTACCAGTCGAATTAGTTCCTAATTTGTATGGAATATTTTTTAGACATAGTACTTTTGGTAAACGTTGACAAACCAAAAATTTATCATAAACCCTTCCCCCAGAGATGAGGAAACTATTTCCTTATTTGGTTATTATTAGACAACAGTTTAGAGCTTAAGGTCTGAAAATTATATTGCATGTAGATTTCTCAAAAAGCTGTAGTCCTAGATTTACTAGATTATGTTATTTCGGTAGTATGATATTACTAGATTGTAGTTATTTTCAGATTGTCGAAGAATGATTGTGTAAAGAACCATTGATTTATGATGGAAAAAACTCTTCAAATTCGTTGATAGATTTTAAATGTTTTATATAATTCATAATATGTTTTCCTCGCTTAATGTTTTTTTTGTAAATATTAAGTTATTTATTTTTACAAGATTATCTCTACAAGGTATTTTACATAGATTACATAATTAACATTGTGGTTTAAACAAGTTACAACACGTTCAATTTTTGTTTTATAATTTATAAATATAATTTTTTTTTTATTTTAACACTATATTTATATTATGTCTATAGCATTACCTATATCAGCTCACCAAAAGAGGACTGAGACGCTTAAACTGACTTGAGAAAACACTGTAATGTTCGAAATATATAAAATAATAAATATTCATTTTAATGTCAATATTCAATAGGAATTATACTTAATAAGTATAAAATATGCGATCAATTATTTCAATAATTTTGAGATTCTCTAAATACCTACTTGTAAACACATATTAAATTATCAAAATGTACATTTGTGATATAGCTAACAGACATGATGAAATACGTTTTTTTTTTGTTATTGGTTTTAGACTAATGAAAAATTCAAAAGAATACAAAATGTTTAAGTGTTTGACATAATATCGAAATATATTTAGAAACACATTTACAGCTTACTCGAAAAACAGCTTATAAGTCAATATTTTAATTATTTAAATAACCTGATAAATATAATAGTAAACTTAGGCGTAGTGCAAATATTTCACGTCAACTGATTAAAATTATGCACAGATTTTTTTCTAAGGTATATTACACATTATTTAGCTTACATGGCACAATTAAAAATAAAATTCATATTTGATTTGTTATATATTCACCCAATCGTTGAATAAAATAAAACACAGCACACTTATTATAATTAAATAAAACAATGGTATACAATATTATATAAAAAAAATGTAAAACAACAAATGCTTTTAAGGAATTAGTACATTTGGGGCGGCAGTGTAAACGTGACTTAAGAGTATAATTATTATTGTACTATTTTATATTATATTATAGTGCTAGATCAAAGAATTAAAATTAAATTTTTCAATGTTATTATTTAATCATTTAAGAAAACAGGGATTTTGCAACAGTAATTTAAGAAAAAAATCGGATACAAAAAAAATAAAAACTTCTCAGCTCTGCAGTGAAGCTAACAAATGTGTTTAAATCTACACCTTATACTAGTAGTAGAAGTATAATGACTCTTATGTAAACACTAAATACCAATTGGCAATTACATGAAAAATTTGTACTTAAATGCAAGTTAATAATCACACAGTTTAATTACATTTATAATATACTAACACCTATCATATAGGTATGCAATAAGCTACCTATAATATCTAACTCATAACAAAACTAAGTTTATAATAAAGTAAAAATTCAAGTAGGTAAGTAAGTTTAATAAATGTGGATGATACCAGGAAAAGACATTGGGTACACCAGCATGAGATGAGAATAGACTAAATATATTTCAATAGAGAAGAGTGGAAGAAATTGGTTTTGGCAGCAAAGGGCAGCAAATATTGCTTATAATATAATATAAAAAAAAATACTAATCAAGCTATTAGTTAAATACTATAAGTCATAGTTCGAAGTTCAAAAAATGATGAATTAATACTTATTAACCATCATACTATTTCAACCAAGACATCACCAAAAGTAATCCTCTTCGTTGCCATTCGCATTATTATCCAAAAAATTCACACACGCTTCTTGTAAGTATATCATCCTCAGTTGAGAAGCTCCGGCTAAAATATTCTGAAACGATATTATAAATTAATTAAAATTGTCGAACGACAAAATAAATAAATAAGTACATTACATCAACATTTCCACGAGTTAAGTCTACTTCAATAGTATACATGTAATTGACTATATGTGCCATCGACTCAGCACTTATATATTTTAAAAACAATCTTCTTTCACCCTTCAGAGCTGCTTTCTTAACCAAACGGCTCATTGAAGCCATCACGAGCATATGACCCCATACTTGGTCACCGTTGTCGTTGACCAATACGAAATCCAATAGTTCCTTTTTTCTAAAATCATAATAAATCTAAGATTAATATTGTTACCTATACATTACAACGTAGAACTGTTAACACGTTGACCGCCATGAGATTTAATATGAGATATCACAAAACTTTGTCCTGGCCGCCAAGGGGTTTTTTTCGAAGATTTTATTCGAAATTTGTAAACATTAATAAAAAGTTGTTTCTAATACGTTTTTTATAGATTCAAGTCAATTAGAGCTGAGATTTCAAATTCGATCTTGTGGCCGTAGGATGTAACTCACTGAAAAATTATTAATATTACCCTTACCGCGAGATCTTCAAATAAATATCATACCAATTATTACCATTTTATGAGATCTCAGATTAAATATCAAAACATTTTTATTTTAAAAACTAACCTGTTTATCATTGTAGTAAAACATATATATATTATACTAAAAAAGTCTATATTTTCTTCTTGAAATTTGAAAAACATAAACTATTTAAATACTATAGTAGTAGGTATATAATCATCGTACGATGAGTAATCAAAGGGTGAATTTAACATGTCATTAATACGGTCAGTGTCCATTATTAATTTTTAAAAACTTAATATTATAATAATAATATTATATAATATATTAAATTATGTTGAAACACAGTACGTTTAAAAAAAATATGCGCATGGTATCAATGATAAGATAATCATAGAATACATACATTTCAAAAAATCATAGAAAAAAACCTGATAACGCTAGACGCTTGCTAAATAGACCCAATGAAAGTGGCAACACTGTACTTTTCAAATAAAATGTTAAAAAACTGATAGTTGAGACCAGAAACGAAATATCACCAATTGAAAATAAATGGGAATGAGATCTCTTAATTAATCTCACGACACATTTTTGGGAAAAAGTTGAGATTTCGAATTATGTCTCATGGCCGTTACAAGTAACACAGTGAAAAACCCCGTGGCGGTCAACGTGATAAAATAATCGAACAAAAAGCGTGCGCAACGAAAAAGATAACGTTATAACACTGTCGTACACAAAATAAAATCTAAACAAAAAAGCGGTCAAGTTAGGTAATTACAGCATAGTGCGTACTTGCGCATTTCGTTCATTTGACGAGATCTTTCAATGAAACCTCTTTTTGTAGTCATGTCCATAGCGAAGACGAGTGGTTCGTAAAAAAAAAACAGAGATAACAACAAACGTCAATAGATTATGAAAATATTTTAGTTAAACATTAACTTCAAGAGTGGCTATCCTGAAAGTCGTTGTTAGCGGCCACCGCGATATTACAAACAACAAACGGATTATTATTGAACGGTACAAATGTAACAACGATTTCGATTTTTTAAGAATAATATTATTGTGGTTTGCACAGAGTGAACGTTATAATTTACTACAGTAAGGACGCCGAACTGGGCTATCATAAGGACAAGCCAAGCTTTCTTTGTAGCATCCGCCAGTTGCGCTGCCGGGGCACTAATCGATAGTACGGTGGCAATATATATGCGATGGCACAGCTGATCTGAGCAGGCAAAGTTCCGGCAATGCCAGTGCAACTCTCATAATATCTCTATACTTCCTCTTATGCTGGGCTTTTGGAATTTCAAACATAGATTAATCCCAAAGGAGACGAGGACGCTGTAAAAACGACGAGCCCTTAATTAGGTTAAGCCTTTTCCAAAAGAGAGAACTTTGCAGAGTTTGCATTTTTGTAACCGACTCACTCGCCGTTCAATGTAATCGTCCAACATCCAAACTTTTGTTAATAGAAAATTTCAGAACAGTTGGAATAGGTAGTAAGTTTTCGGGCTACATGGTAAATTATCTAAACTATGTAGGCGAATATTTTGTGGTTGTTGGGTAAGTTCGCCCCGGTGAAATTATTTGAAACAAACCTAATGCAAATAATAAAAACGTCCAAAATACAAACACTAAGACAAAAAAGATTTGAATAAAATCGTTTTTCTATAAAACGTTTCGTGTTAAAAAAGCGGAGTACGGTTGAATTATAATAATTCAATAACAGATATTGCGATTATCAAAGATAAATAATTGATTAGGTACACTAAATACAAGAATTCAATGTGTTAATGTGTCAATATATTGTCTTCAAAAATATTAAGATGTTATAATGATGAAATAAGTTTTTTTAAACTATTGGTTTTAGAGTTAAAATCACTAGCAAAAAATCAAAAAGAATACAAAATGTTTAATTGTATGACATGTTATCGAATTATATTTCGAAAAATATTTACAGCTTATTCAATAAAGTTAAAACAAACCAGCAGGTAGCTTATAAGTCATTATTTTAATTATTTAAATAACTTCATAACCATATTTGCAAACCTAGATAAACTGCAAGTATTTAACGGCAACTAATTAAAATTATGCACAGATTTTTTTCTTAGGTACCTATATAACAAGTATATAAATTTCTATTTTTGAATTTCTATTTTATGGTTTAAACAAGTTACAACACGTTTAATTTTTGTTTTATAATTTTTAAATATAACAATTTTCTTATTTTTACACTTTATATTTTTATTATGTCTAAAGCATTACCTATATGAGCTCACCAAAAGAGGACTGAGACGTTTAAACTGACTTGAGAAAACACTGTAATGTTCGAAATATATAAAATAGTAAATATTCATTTAAATAATTTATATTTAATAGGAAGTACTTAATAAGTATAAACTATGTGATTAATTATTTCAATAATTTTAAGTTTCTCTAAATACCTACTTGTAAACACATACTAAATTATCAAAATGTACATTCGTGATATAGCTAACAGACATAATGCAATAAGTTTTTTTTTTGTTATTGGTTTTAGACTAATGAAAAATTCAAAATGTTTAAGTGTTTGACATAATATCGAAATATATTTAGAAACACATTTACAGCTTACTCGAAAAACAGCTTAAAAGTCATTATTTTAATTATTTAAATAACCTGATGAATATAATAGTAAACTTAGGCGTAGTGCAAATATTTCACGTCAACTGATTAAAATTATGCACAGATTTTTTTCTAAGGTATATTACACATTATTTAGCTTACATGGCACAATTAATAATAAAATTCATATTTGATTTGTTATATATTCACCCAATCTTTGAATTAAATAAAACACAGCACACTTATTATAATTAAATAAAACAATGGTATACAATATTATATAAAAAAAATGTAAAACAACAAATGCTTTTAAGGAATTAGTACATTTTGGGCGGCAGTGTAAACGTGACTTAAGAGTATAATTATTATTGTACTATTTTATATTATATTATAGTGCTAGATCAAAGAATTAAAATTAAATTATTTATATAATCATTTGAGAAAACGGTGATTTTGCAACAGTAACTCAAGAAAAAATCGGATACAAAAAATAAAAATAAAAACTTTTCAGATCTGCAATGAAGCTAACAAATGTATTTAAATCTACACCTTATACTAGTAGTAGAAGTAAAATGTCTATTATGTAAACACTAAATACCAATTGGCAATTACATGAAAAATTTGTACTTAAATGCAAGTTAATAATCACACAGTTTAATTACATTTATAATATACTAACACCTATCATATAGGTATGGAATAAGCTACTTATAATATCTAACTCATAACAAAACTAAGTTTATAATAATGTAAAAATTTAAGTAGGTAAGTAAGTTTAATAATTATGCGTGATACCAGAAAAAGACATTGGGTACAACAGCATGAGATGAGAACAGACTAAATATATTTTAATAGAGAAGAATGGAAGTAATTGGTTTTGGCAGCAAATATTGTTTATAATGTAATAAAAAAAAAAAAAATACTAATCAATCTATTAGTTAAATACTATAAGTCATAGTTGGAAGTTCAAAAAAATGTCGAATTAATACTTATTTTACCATCATACTTCTACTATCGACCAAGCCGTGAGAATGATATCGCATCGAATGATATCCTCTTCGTTGCGATTCGAATTATTAGCCAAAAAATCCCAACACAGTGATTGTAAATGTTCCAATTCCAAATGAGTAGCTGCACTTAAAATCATCTAAATAATAATATAAATTAATTAAAATTCTTGAATGACAAAACAAATAAATAAATTAGTAATTTACATAAAAATTATCACGAGTTAAGTCTACTTCAGCAGTATACATGTAGTTGACTACATGTTCCAGTGATTCAGCATTTATATTTTTCAACAGCAATCTATTTTCACTCTTGAACATAGCAGTATCTAAAATTACATCGCTCATTAAAGCCATCAGTGGCATATGACCCCATACTTCGTCACCGTTTTCGTTAACCAATGCGAAATCCAATAATACCTTTTTCCTAAAACGACAAAAGTACGCGCAATGAAAAAGATAATATAATACAATACAATCGTACACAAAATGAAATCTTTTATAAACAATAGCGGCCGAGTGAGTTAAGTTAGTGCATACTTGCGCATTTCGTTCATTATAGGATCAAATCTGTGAAGAACATAACTTTCTGCAGTCTCATCCTCCATAGCTAAGACGAGCGATTTACGAAAAAATAAAAAACAGAGCAAACAACAAACGGATTATTATTTTACTTTATTATTGAACGGCACACAAATGTAACAACGATTTCGATTTTTTTGTGAACGTTATAATTTACTACAGTAAGGACGCCGAACTGGGCTATCATAAGGACAAGCCAAGCTTTCTTTGTAGCATCCGCCAGTTGCGCTGCCGGGGCACTAATCGATAGTACGGTGGCAATATATATGCGATGGCACAGCTGATCTGAGCTAAAGGAGACGAGGACGCTGTAGAAATATTAAGCCCTTAATATTGAGCCTTTTCCAAAGGAGAGAACACTGCAAAGTTTGCATATTTGTAACCGACTCACTCGCTGCTCAATGTAATCGTCCAACATACAATCTTTTATTAATAGAAAATTTCAAAACATTTGGAATAGCTAATACGTTTTCGTGCAAATAATAAAAACGCCGTAAAAAATATAAACATTAAGATGGAAATGATTTAAATAAAATCATTTTTCTATAAAACGTTTCATGTGAAAAAAGCGTAGTACGGTTGAATTATAATAATTCAGTAACAGACATTGTAAAATATAATAATAAGTGAAATGAAAAACTAAAAATCACTTTAGATAGTTATTTTTATCAGCACGCATTGCTCTACCTCATTCCACCACCCAACCTAACCTAACCTTTAATAACTTAAAAAGTAATAATCCAAAGCTGATTATGGACCGGTCAAAATTCTCAGCAAATTACTCTCGATTGAATTTGTTTTTTAAAAATAAACAAATTATTAAAAAAAAGTAAAATAGTTAAGTGCAATTTAAAAAGGTCGTGTTATTTTAGCGGGAACGAGTATAAGTCAATAAAAAAAAAAAAAAAACCTTAAAAATATTCACTAGAACAAAAGTTATTTCGTTTGTGGGACACTTTGTACATAGCTGATGGGTATTAAACAAATACTATGTTTCATACTTGAATATTTAAAATTTCCAAGACGAATTCTTTTGTTTTTATTCGCTTAGGTATAAGGGAAAATATTTAAAAGTATAGGAAATGATTTTGCAAATTTTTAAGGGGTGACTGCTTTTAAAGGGAATTTTTTTTCCCAATATTGTTGGTAAGGAATCCGTCAATACGGACATAATCATTTAACGTTATCGTAAAATATGTTATGTATATTCTAGCCCAACGAAAACAAAGAAGGAAAAAAAGAAGTGTTCCAACATATAGCTAATGGATACCTTAAGTCCGTTATTATGTTAAAAAAAAAAAACGCTAGAAATACCGAAAAGTCAGCAATGAATATAATAAAAAATTTCTGCTTTAACCCAGGAATCGATTTGTTAAAAGTATATCAAATGTGAAAGTATTGTTACATAAGATACTGAAATTGTTGTAAACATTTAATACAGTGCTCATTAGTATGTTAAGGTCAATTGTTCTTAGTTTTAAATATTATCAATATGTTGTTGTATGCCAATTTTCGACATAGCTTTTTTATTAACTGAACATTGTGGAGAATTCACCACCGGAAAAATTATTATTATCAAAAAATTATATTGTTGATTCAACAGCTAACCATACTTAAACTTAGCTTTTCTCATTACTTTAGTTTCAAACATTTCTTTGAAATGGTTATAATGAAATTTTGATGATCACCTTATAGCAACAACAAACAATTTTCACAAAAAAAAATAAATAAATTAGTATAAACACCAAGTATAAATAGAGAGTTGATGTAATACAGTGTTCCCCAATTGTTATGGTTTAATATATTATACATATATATTTTTAATAATAGTATATACCAGCAATTAACATTGTATTTATATATAATAAAACTTAATGTTAAAATATAATAAATACAATAAAAAAAGTTATAATTACATTTTTGTGACCACTTTATAGCAACGACCAATTTGTACAATAAAAATAATAAATTAGTTTAATCAAGTTGTAATAATAATACAATGGTATTGGATTGTAATGGGTTACCTCTCATATTACATACCTATCGTTATTAAAATAAGTTTTTTAGGCATGATGAGGAAATCAGTTAAATTAAAAACACAAATATTATATTTTTTTGTTTATAAGTTTTTAAAATCGGCTTCCTACATAACACAGTAAAGCAACTCGAATTTAATCACATTTGTCTGGGTTTTTGGTCTGAAATAAACCAAAATGGGTTTTGCTCTTAGAATACATTTTATTCAAATTAATAACAATACCTGAAGCTTACATAGATTAACCGGTAAATCAATCGACATGATCGAAATTTTTTGAATCTATTTTTACTTATATATTGCCTATACAAAACCCCTTAAAACCGACCGCATGCAATAATAATAATAATAAACAGTCACTATCGAATACTATACAAATTACAATATTATCATTGCTGTATTTACAAACGGTATTAATTTTAAATGGAAAAAATTAAAAAAATAGTTTTCCAAACATAATATAACAATGTGGTCGTCTTGAGTCGAAGGAATTCCAGCAACGGATAGCGCTATTTTTTTAAGGCGCAAAAGATAGGCAATATTTTATACACATTTATCCAGAAACCGTTTTAAGTATGCAGACTAATTTTAATGTAAACAAATATTAATTATTTCTAGTTATACAACACTTAAAGTTATTTTTCTCCGAGTTATGGAGAAAGTCAATCCATTGGAGGGAATTCAGTTTCGATTTTGTTTTATGTGAGTGTTACTATTTTCTCTGTGGCAGCTAAAGGTCAGATTTTCGATTTAATAATCAGAAAATTAGTTAGATTTATTAGAAAAAATACTATGAAAAAGTAAAAACATAAACCGCTTAAAGAACAATTTTGAAAACAGAAATAAAAAATCCGCCTTTTTGCCCCATAGAGAAGATTTTAGTGTACTTAATAACAAACAATTTATCCACAACGAGTGACTTAATACAACTTTTATGGCAAAAAAAAAAAATGTAATAATACTCAAAGTTTAGCTATTTTATAGTGATTTTTATGATATTTAGTTATAATGATTATGGAATACTTGTGATCTCTCTCCAACCTAATATGCCTCGATCTTGAGCGATTAAATTAAGTATGTTTGTTTTAAAAAAATATTGGAATTAATAAATTTCTTTTCCTAAAAGTGACTAAAAAAACTGTCTTTATTTGTTTTCTTAACCTATGGTTTTTTCAATTAAAATAAACACTTAAGGTATGTGTAACAAAAGTATACTGTGTATAGTGTAAATCTAATATGTGTAAAAATTTGTTTTATATTTTTTTTAAACAGAAAAATCTTTACCAGGGACAAAAAATACTGCCAAAACAAAAAATGAATTGTTTTTTTTGTGAAATATTTTCCTATTAGAAACATTTGTACAAATAAGAACACTTACGACGAAAACAACAGCAGAAACACACAACAACAGTTTCGTTTTAACAGCAAATGATTTGCAATTCAGACCTACATATAAATATATGTTTATACTTTATAATGCATACTGAGGAAAATTTACAAAAATACCGTCTATAATATTATACAGGTTTTATAATAAAAACCGAAATCAAAAATATTATAAGTAGTATGGTACATTAAAAAAAAAAATATTTTGTGGTTGTTGGGTAAGTTCGCCCCGGTGAAATTATTTGAAACAAACCTAATGCAAATAATAAAAACGTCCAAAATACAAACACTAAGACAAAAAAGATTTGAATAAAATCATTTTTCTATAAAACGTTTCGTGTTAAAAAAGCGGAGTACGGTTGAATTATAATAATTCAATAACAGATATTGCGATTATCAAAGATAAATAATTGATTAGGTACACTAAATACAAGAATTCAATGTGTTAATGTGTCAATATATTGTCTTCAAAAATATTAAGATGTTATAATGATGAAATAAGTTTTTTTAAACTATTGGTTTTAGAGTTAAAATCACTAGCAAAAAATCAAAAAGAATACAAAATGTTTAATTGTATGACATGTTATCGAATTATATTTCGAAAAATATTTACAGCTTATTCAATAAAGTTAAAACAAACCAGCAGGTAGCTTATAAGTCATTATTTTAATTATTTAAATAACTTCATAACCATATTTGCAAACCTAGATAAACTGCAAGTATTTAACGGCAACTAATTAAAATTATGCACAGATTTTTTTCTTAGGTACCTATATAACAAGTATATAAATTTCTATTTTTGAATTTCTATTTTATGGTTTAAACAAGTTACAACACGTTTAATTTTTGTTTTATAATTTTTAAATATAACAATTTTCTTATTTTTACACTTTATATTTTTATTATGTCTAAAGCATTACCTATATCAGCTCACCAAAAGAGGACTGAGACGTTTAAACTGACTTGAGAAAACACTGTAATGTTCGAAATATATAAAATAGTAAATATTCATTTAAATAATTATATATTTAATAGGAAGTACTTAATAAGTATAAACTATGTGATTAATTATTTCAATAATTTTAAGTTTCTCTAAATACCTACTTGTAAACACATACTAAATTATCAAAATGTACATTCGTGATATAGCTAACAGACATAATGCAATAAGTTTTTTTTTTGTTATTGGTTTTAGACTAATGAAAAATTCAAAATGTTTAAGTGTTTGACATAATATCGAAATATATTTAGAAACACATTTACAGCTTACTCGAAAAACAGCTTAAAAGTCAATATTTTAATTATTTAAATAACCTGATGAATATAATAGTAAACTTAGGCGTAGTGCAAATATTTCACGTCAACTGATTAAAATTATGCACAGATTTTTTTCTAAGGTATGTTACACATTATTTAGCTTACATGGCACAATTAAAAATAAAATTCATATTTGATTTGTTATATATTCACCCAATCTTTGAATTAAATAAAACACAGCACACTTATTATAATTAAATAAAACAATGGTATACAATATTATATAAAAAAAATGTAAAACAACAAATGCTTTTAAGGAATTAGTACATTTTGGGCGGCAGTGTAAACGTGACTTAAGAGTATAATTATTATTGTACTATTTTATATTATATTATAGTGCTAGATCAAAGAATTAAAATTAAATTATTTATATAATCATTTGAGAAAACGGTGATTTTGCAACAGTAACTCAAGAAAAAATCGGATACAAAAAATAAAAATAAAAACTTTTCAGATCTGCAATGAAGCTAACAAATGTATTAAAATCTACACCTTATACTAGTAGTAGAAGTAAAATGTCTAATATGTAAACACTAAATACCAATTGGCAATTACATGAAAAATTTGTACTTAAATGCAAGTTAATAATCACACAGTTTAATTACATTTATAATATACTAACACCTATCATATAGGTATGGAATAAGCTACTTATAATATCTAACTCATAACAAAACTAAGTTTATAATAATGTAAAAATTTAAGTAGGTAAGTAAGTTTAATAATTATGCGTGATACCAGAAAAAGACATTGGGTACAACAGCATGAGATGAGAACAGACTAAATATATTTTAATAGAGAAGAATGGAAGTAATTGGTTTTGGCAGCAAATATTGTTTATAATGTAATAAAAAAAAAAAAAATACTAATCAATCTATTAGTTAAATACTATAAGTCATAGTTGGAAGTTCAAAAAAATGTCGAATTAATACTTATTTTACCATCATACTTCTACTATCGACCAAGCCGTGTGAATGATATCGCATCGAATGATATCCTCTTCGTTGCGATTCGAATTATTAGCCAAAAAATCCCAACACAGTGATTGTAAATGTTCCAATTCCAAATGAGTAGCTGCACCTAAAATCATCTAAATAATAATATAAATTAATTAAAATTCTTGAATGACAAAACAAATAAATAAATTAGCAATTTACAAGAACATTATCACGAGTTAAGTCTACTTCAGCAGTATACATGTAGTTGACTACATGTTCCAGTGATTCAGCATTTATATTTTTCAACAGCAATCTATTCTTCACGCTTGAACATAGCAGTCTCTAAAATTACATCGCTCATTAAAGCCATCAGTGGCATATGACCCCATACTTCGTCACCGTTTTCGTTAACCAATGCGAAATCCAATAATACCTTTTTCCTAAAACGACAAAAGTACGCGCAATGAAAAAGATAATATAATACAATACAATCGTACACAAAATGAAATCTTTTATAAACAATAGCGGCCGAGTGAGTTAAGTTAGTGCATACTTGCGCATTTCGTTCATTATAGGATCAAATCTGTCAAGAACATAACTTTCTGCAGTCTCATCCTCCATAGCTAAGACGAGCGATTTACAATAAAATAAAAAACAGAGCAAACAACAAACGGATTATTATTTTACTTTATTATTGAACGGCACACAAATGTAACAACGATTTCGATTTTTTTGTGAACGTTATAATTTACTACAGTAAGGACGCCGAACTGGGCTATCATAAGGACAAGCCAAGCTTTCTTTGTAGCATCCGCCAGTTGCGCTGCCGGGGCACTAATCGATAGTACGGTGGCAATATATATGCGATGGCACAGCTGATCTGAGCTAAAGGAGACGAGGACGCTGTAGAAATATTAAGCCCTTAATATTGAGCCTTTTCCAAAGGAGAGAACACTGCAAAGTTTGCATATTTGTAACCGACTCACTCGCTGCTCAATGTAATCGTCCAACATACAATCTTTTATTAATAGAAAATTTCAAAACATTTGGAATAGCTAATACGTTTTCGTGCAAATAATAAAAACGCCGTACAAAATATAAACATTAAGATGGAAATGATTTAAATAAAATCATTTTTCTATAAAACGTTTCATGTAAAAAAAAGCGTAACTACGGTTGAATTATAATAATTCAGTAACAGACATTGTAAAATATAATAATAAGTGAAATGAAAAACTAAAAATCACTTTAGATAGTTATTTTTATCAGCACGCATTACTCTACCTCATTCCACCACCCAACCTAACCTAACCTTTAATAACTTAAAAAGTAATAATCCAAAGCTGATTATGGACCGGTCAAAATTCTCAGCAAATTACTCTCGATTGAATTTGTTTTTTAAAAATAAACAAATTATTAAAAAAAAGTAAAATAGTTAAGTGCAATTTAAAAAAGTCGTGTTATTTTAGCGGGAACGAGTATAAGTCAATAAAAAAAAAAAAAAAACCTTAAAAATATTCACTAGAACAAAAGTTATTTCGTTTGTGGGACACTTTGTACATAGCTGATGGGTATTAAACAAATACTATGTTTCATACTTGAATATTTAAAATTTCCAAGACGAATTCTTTTGTTTTTATTCTCTTAGGTATAAGGGAAAATATTTAAAAGTATAGGAAATGATTTTGCAAATTTTTAGGGGTGACTGCTTTTAAAGGGATTTTTTTTTCCCAATATTGTTGGTAGGGAATCCGTCAATACGGACATAATCATTTAACGTTATCGTAAAATATGTTATGTATATTCTAGCCCAACGAAAACAAAGAAGGAAAAAAAGAAGTGTTCCAACATATAGCTAATGGATACCTTAAGTCCGTTATTATGTTAAAAAAAAAAAAACGCTAGAAATACCGAAAAGTCAGCAATGAATATAATAAGAAGTTTCTGCTTTAACCCAGGAATCGATTTGTTAAAAGTATATCAAATGTGAAAGTATTGTTACATAAGATACTGAAATTGTTGTAAACATTTAATACAGTGCTCATTAGTATGTTAAGGTCAATTGTTCTTAGTTTTAAATATTATCAATATGTTGTTGTATGCCAATTTTCGACATAGCTTTTTTATTAACTGAACATTGTGGAGAATTCACCACCGGAAAAATTATTATTATCAAAAAATTATATTGTTGATTCAACAGCTAACCATACTTAAACTTAGCTTTTCTCATTACTTTAGTTTCAAACATTTCTTTGAAAAGGTTATAATGAAATTTTGATGATCACCTTATAGCAACAACAAACAATTTTCACGAAAAAAAATAAATAAATTAGTATAAACACCAAGTATAAATAGAGAGTTGATGTAATACAGTGTTCCCCAATTGTTATGGTTTAATATATTATACATATATATATTTAATAATAGTATATACCAGCAATTAACATTGTATTTATATATAATAAAACTTAATGTTAAAATATAATAAATACAATAAAAAAAGTTATAATTACATTTTTGTGACCACTTTATAGCAACGACCAATTTGTACAATAAAAATAATAAATTAGTTTAATCAAGTTGTAATAATAATACAATGGTATTGGATTGTAATGGGTTACCTCTCATATTACATACCTATCATTATTAAAATAGGTTTTTTAGGCATGATGAGGAAATCAGTTAAATTAAAAACACAAATAGTATATTTTTTTGTTTATAAGTTTTGAAAATCGGCTTCCTACATAACACAGTAAAGCAACTCGAATTTAATCACATTTGTCTGGGTTTTTGGTCTGAAATAAACCAAAATGGGTTTTGCTCTTAGAATACATTTTATTCAAATTAATAACAATACCTGAAGCTTACATAGATTAACCGGTAAATCAATCGACATGATCGAAATTTTTTGAATCTCTTTTTACTTATATATTGCCTATACAAAACCCCTTAAAACCGACCGCATGCAATAATAATAATAATAAACAGTCACTATCGAATACTATACAAATTACAATATTATCATTGCTGTATTTACAAACGGTATAAATTTTAAATGGAAAAAATTAAAAAAATAGTTTTCCAAACATAATATAACAATGTGGTCGTCTTGAGTCGAAGGAATTCCAGCAACGGATAGCGCTATTTTTTTAAGGCGCAAAAGATAGGCAATATTTTATACAAATTTATCCAGAAACCGTTTTAAGTATGCCGACTAATTTTAATGTAAACAAATATTAATTATTTCTAGTTATACAACACTTAAAGTTATTTTTCTCCGAGTTATGGAGAAAGTCAATCCATTGGAGGGAATTCAGTTTCGATTTTGTTTTATGTGAGTGTTACTATTTTCTCTGTGGCAGCTAAAGGTCAGATTTTCGATTTAATAATCAGAAAATTAGTTAGATTTATTAGAAAAAATACTATGAAAAAGTAAAAACATAAACCGCTTAAAGAACAATTTTGAAAACAGAAATAAAAAATCCGCCTTTTTGCCCCATAGAGAAGATTTTAGTGTACTTAATAACAAACAATTTATCCACAACTAGTGACTTAATACAACTTTTATGGCAAAAAAAAAAATGTAATAATACTCAAAGTTTAGCTATTTTATAGTGATTTTTATGATATTTAGTTATAATGATTATGGAATACTTGTGATCTCTCTCCAACCTAATATGCCTCGATCTTGAGCGATTAAATTAAGTATGTTTGTTTTAAAAAAATATTGGAATTAATAAATTTCTTTTCCTAAAAGTGACTAAAAAAACTGTCTTTATTTGTTTTCTTAACCTATGGTTTTTTCAATTAAAATAAACACTTAAGGTATGTGTAACAAAAGTATACTGTGTATAGTGTAAATCTAATATGTGTAAAAATTTGTTTTATATTTTTTTTAAACAGAAAAATCTTTACCAGGGACAAAAAATACTGCCAAAACAAAAAATGAATTGTTTTTTTTGTGAAATATTTTCCTATTAGAAACATTTGTACAAATAAGAACACTTACGACGAAAACAACAGCAGAAACACACAACAACAGTTTCGTTTTAACAGCAAATGATTTGCAATTCAGACCTACATATAAATATATGTTTATACTTTATAATGCATACTGAGGAAAATTTACAAAAATACCGTCTATAATATTATACAGGTTTTATAATAAAAACCGAAATCAAAAATATTATAAGTAGTATGGTACATTAAAAAAAAAAATATTTTGTGGTTGTTGGGTAAGTTCGCCGCGGTGAAATTATTTGAAACAAACCTAATGCAAATAATAAAAACGTCCAAAATACAAACACTAAGACAAAAAAGATTTGAATAAAATCATTTTTCTATAAAACGTTTCGTGTTAAAAAAGCGGAGTACGGTTGAATTATAATAATTCAATAACAGATATTGCGATTATCAAAGATAAATAATTGATTAGGTACACTAAATACAAGAATTCAATGTGTTAATGTGTCAATATATTGTATTCAAAAATATTAAGATGTTATAATGATGAAATAAGTTTTTTTAAACTATTGGTTTTAGAGTTAAAATCACTAGCAAAAAATCAAAAAGAATACAAAATGTTTAATTGTATGACATGTTATCGAATTATATTTCGAAAAATATTTACAGCTTATTCAATAAAGTTAAAACAAACCAGCAGGTAGCTTATAAGTCATTATTTTAATTATTTAAATAACTTCATAACCATGTTTGCAAACCTAGATAAACTGCAAGTATTTAACGGCAACTAATTAAAATTATGCACAGATTTTTTTCTAAGGTACCTATATAACAAGTATAGAAATTTCTATTTTTGAATTTCTATTTTATGGTTTAAACAAGTTACAACACGTTTAATTTTTGTTTTATAATTTTTAAATATAACAATTTTCTTATTTTTACACTTTATATTTTTATTATGTCTAAAGCATTACCTATATCAGCTCACCAAAAGAGGACTGAGACGTTTAAACTGACTTGAGAAAACACTGTAATGTTCGAAATATATAAAATAGTAAATATTCATTTAAATAATTATATATTTAATAGGAAGTACTTAATAAGTATAAACTATGTGATTAATTATTTCAATAATTTTAAGTTTCTCTAAATACCTACTTGTAAACACATACTAAATTATCAAAATGTACATTCGTGATATAGCTAACAGACATAATGCAATAAGTTTTTTTTTTGTTATTGGTTTTAGACTAATGAAAAATTCAAAATGTTTAAGTGTTTGACATAATATCGAAATATATTTAGAAACACATTTACAGCTTACTCGAAAAACAGCTTATAAGTCAATATTTTAATTATTTAAATAACTTGATAAATATATTAGCAAACTTAGGCGTAGTGCAAATAATTCACGTCAACTGATTAAAATTATGCACAGATTTTTTTCTAAGGTATGTTACACATTATTTAGCTTACATGGCACAATTAAAAATAAAATTCATATTTGATTTGTTATATATTCACCCAATCTTTGAATTAAATAAAACACAGCACACTTATTATAATTAAATAAAACAATGGTATACAATATTATATAAAAAAAATGTAAAACAACAAATGCTTTTAAGGAATTAGTACATTTTGGGCGGCAGTGTAAACGTGACTTAAGAGTATAATTATTATTGTACTATTTTATATTATATTATAGTGCTAGATCAAAGAATTAAAATTAAATTATTTATATAATCATTTGAGAAAACGGTGATTTTGCAACAGTAACTCAAGAAAAAATCGGATACAAAAAATAAAAATAAAAACTTTTCAGATCTGCAATGAAGCTAACAAATGTATTAAAATCTACACCTTATACTAGTAGTAGAAGTAAAATGTCTAATATGTAAACACTAAATACCAATTGGCAATTACATGAAAAATTTGTACTTAAATGCAAGTTAATAATCACACAGTTTAATTACATTTATAATATACTAACACCTATCATATAGGTATGGAATAAGCTACTTATAATATCTAACTCATAACAAAACTAAGTTTATAATAATGTAAAAATTTAAGTAGGTAAGTAAGTTTAATAATTATGCGTGATACCAGAAAAAGACATTGGGTACAACAGCATGAGATGAGAACAGACTAAATATATTTTAATAGAGAAGAATGGAAGTAATTGGTTTTGGCAGCAAATATTGTTTATAATGTAATAAAAAAAAAAAAAATACTAATCAATCTATTAGTTAAATACTATAAGTCATAGTTGGAAGTTCAAAAAAATGTCGAATTAATACTTATTTTACCATCATACTTCTACTATCGACCAAGCCGTGAGAATGATATCGCATCGAATGATATCCTCTTCGTTGCGATTCGAATTATTAGCCAAAAAATCCCAACACAGTGATTGTAAATGTTCCAATTCCAAATGAGTAGCTGCACCTAAAATCATCTAAATAATAATATAAATTAATTAAAATTCTTGAATGACAAAACAAATAAATAAATTAGTAATTTACATAAACATTATCACGAGTTAAGTCTACTTCAGCAGTATACATGTAGTTGACTACATGTTCCAGTGATTCAGCATTTATATTTTTCAACAGCAATCTATTTTCACGCTTGAACATAGCAGTATCTAAAATTACATCGCTCATTAAAGCCATCAGTGGCATATGACCCCATACTTCGTCACCGTTTTCGTTAACCAATGCGAAATCCAATAATACCTTTTTCCTAAAACGACAAAAGTACGCGCAATGAAAAAGATAATATAATACAATACAATCGTACACAAAATGAAATCTTTTATAAACAATAGCGGCCGAGTGAGTTAAGTTAGTGCATACTTGCGCATTTCGTTCATTATAGGATCAAATCTGTCAAGAACATAACTTTCTGCAGTCTCATCCTCCATAGCTAAGACGAGCGATTTACAAAAAATAAAAAACAGAGCAAACAACAAACGGATTATTATTTTACTTTATTATTGAACGGCACACAAATGTAACAACGATTTCGATTTTTTCGTGAACGTTATAATTTACTACAGTAAGGACGCCGAACTGGGCTATCATAAGGACAAGCCAAGCTTTCTTTGTAGCATCCGCCAGTTGCGCTGCCGGGGCACTAATCGATAGTACGGTGGCAATATATATGCGATGGCACAGCTGATCTGAGCTAAAGGAGACGAGGACGCTGTAGAAATATTAAGCCCTTAATATTGAGCCTTTTCCAAAGGAGAGAACACTGCAAAGTTTGCATATTTGTAACCGACTCACTCGCTGCTCAATGTAATCGTCCAACATACAATCTTTTATTAATAGAAAATTTCAAAACATTTGGAATAGCTAATACGTTTTCGTGCAAATAATAAAAACGCCGTAAAAAATATAAACATTAAGATGGAAATGATTTAAATAAAATCATTTTTCTATAAAACGTTTCATGTAAAAAAAGCGTAACTACGGTTGAATTATAATAATTCAGTAACAGACATTGTAAAATATAATAATAAGTGAAATGAAAAACTAAAAATCACTTTAGATAGTTATTTTTATCAGCACGCATTACTCTACCTCATTCCACCACCCAACCTAACCTAACCTTTAATAACTTAAAAAGTAATAATCCAAAGCTGATTATGGACCGGTCAAAATTCTCAGCAAATTACTCTCGATTGAATTTGTTTTTTAAAAATAAACAAATTATTAAAAAAAAGTAAAATAGTTAAGTGCAATTTAAAAAGGTCGTGTTATTTTAGCGGGAACGAGTATAAGTCAATAAAAAAAAAAAAAAAACCTTAAAAATATTCACTAGAACAAAAGTTATTTCGTTTGTGGGACACTTTGTACATAGCTGATGGGTATTAAACAAATACTATGTTTCATACTTGAATATTTAAAATTTCCAAGACGAATTCTTTTGTTTTTATTCGCTTAGGTATAAGGGAAAATATTTAAAAGTATAGGAAATGATTTTGCAAATTTTTAAGGGGTGACTGCTTTTAAAGGGAATTTTTTTTCCCAATATTGTTGGTAAGGAATCCGTCAATACGGACATAATCATTTAACGTTATCGTAAAATATGTTATGTATATTCTAGCCCAACGAAAACAAAGAAGGAAAAAAAGAAGTGTTCCAACATATAGCTAATGGATACCTTAAGTCCGTTATTATGTTAAAAAAAAAAAACGCTAGAAATACCGAAAAGTCAGCAATGAATATAATAAAAAGTTTCTGCTTTAACCCAGGAATCGATTTGTTAAAAGTATATCAAATGTGAAAGTATTGTTACATAAGATACTGAAATTGTTGTAAACATTTAATACAGTGCTCATTAGTATGTTAAGGTCAATTGTTCTTAGTTTTAAATATTATCAATATGTTGTTGTATGCCAATTTTCGACATAGCTTTTTTATTAACTGAACATTGTGGAGAATTCACCACCGGAAAAATTATTATTATCAAAAAATTATATTGTTGATTCAACAGCTAACCATACTTAAACTTAGCTTTTCTCATTACTTTAGTTTCAAACATTTCTTTGAAAAGGTTATAATGAAATTTTGATGATCACCTTATAGCAACAACAAACAATTTTCACGAAAAAAAATAAATAAATTAGTATAAACACCAAGTATAAATAGAGAGTTGATGTAATACAGTGTTCCCCAATTGTTATGGTTTAATATATTATACATATATATTTTTAATAATAGTATATACCAGCAATTAACATTGTATTTATATATAATAAAACTTAATGTTAAAATATAATAAATACAATAAAAAAAGTTATAATTACATTTTTGTGACCACTTTATAGCAACGACCAATTTGTACAATAAAAATAATAAATTAGTTTAATCAAGTTGTAATAATAATACAATGGTATTGGATTGTAATGGGTTACCTCTCATATTACATACCTATCGTTATTAAAATAGGTTTTTTAGGCATGATGAGGAAATCAGTTAAATTAAAAACACAAATAGTATATTTTTTTGTTTATAAGTTTTGAAAATCGGCTTCCTACATAACACAGTAAAGCAACTCGAATTTAATCACATTTGTCTGGGTTTTTGGTCTGAAATAAACCAAAATGGGTTTTGCTCTTAGAATACATTTTATTCAAATTAATAACAATATCTGAAGCTTACATAGATTAACCGGTAAATCAATCGACATGGTCGAAATTTTTTGAATCTATTTTTACTTATATATTGCCTATACAAAACCCCTTAAAACCGACCGCATGCAATAATAATAATAATAAACAGTCACTATCGAATACTATACAAATTACAATATTATCATTGCTGTATTTACAAACGGTATTAATTTTAAATGGAAAAAATTAAAAAAATAGTTTTCCAAACATAATATAACAATGTGGTCGTCTTGAGTCGAAGGAATTCCAGCAACGGATAGCGCTATTTTTTTAAGGCGCAAAAGATAGGCAATATTTTATACAAATTTATCCAGAAACCGTTTTAAGTATGCCGACTAATTTTAATGTAAACAAATATTAATTATTTCTAGTTATACAACACTTAAAGTTATTTTTCTCCGAGTTATGGAGAAAGTCAATCCATTGGAGGGAATTCAGTTTCGATTTTGTTTTATGTGAGTGTTACTATTTTCTCTGTGGCAGCTAAAGGTCAGATTTTCGATTTAATAATCAGAAAATTAGTTAGATTTATTAGAAAAAATACTATGAAAAAGTAAAAACATAAACCGCTTAAAGAACAATTTTGAAAACAGAAATAAAAAATCCGCCTTTTTGCCCCATAGAGAAGATTTTAGTGTACTTAATAACAAACAATTTATCCACAACGAGTGACTTCATACAACTTTTATGGCAAAAAAAAAAAATGTAATAATACTCAAAGTTTAGCTATTTTATAGTGATTTTTATGATATTTAGTTATAATGATTATGGAAGACTTGTGATCTCTCTCCAACCTAATATGCCTCGATCTTGAGCGATTAAATTAAGTATGTTTGTTTTAAAAAAATATTGGAATTAATTAATTTCTTTTCCTAAAAGTGACTAAAAAAACTGTCTTTATTTGTTTTCTTAACCTATGGTTTTTTCAATTAAAATAAACACTTAAGGTATGTGTAACAAAAGTATACTGTGTATAGTGTAAATCTAATATGTGTAAAAATTTGTTTTATATTTTTTTTAAACAGAAAAATCTTTACCAGGGACAAAAAATACTGCCAAAACAAAAAATGAATTGTTTTTTTTGTGAAATATTTTCCTATTAGAAACATTTGTACAAATAAGAACACTTACGACGAAAACAACAGCAGAAACACACAACAACAGTTTCGTTTTAACAGCAAATGATTTGCAATTCAGACCTACATATAAATATATGTTTATACTTTATAATGCATACTGAGGAAAATTTACAAAAATACCGTCTATAATATTATACAGGTTTTATAATAAAAACCGAAATCAAAAATATTATAAGTAGTATGGTACATTAAAAAAAAAAATATTTTGTGGTTGTTGGGTAAGTTCGCCGCGGTGAAATTATTTGAAACAAACCTAATGCAAATAATAAAAACGTCCAAAATACAAACACTAAGACAAAAAAGATTTGAATAAAATCATTTTTCTATAAAACGTTTCGTGTTAAAAAAGCGGAGTACGGTTGAATTATAATAATTCAATAACAGATATTGCGATTATCAAAGATAAATAATTGATTAGGTACACTAAATACAAGAATTCAATGTGTTAATGTGTCAATATATTGTCTTCAAAAATATTAAGATGTTATAATGATGAAATAAGTTTTTTTAAACTATTGGTTTTAGAGTTAAAATCACTAGCAAAAAATCAAAAAGAATACAAAATGTTTAATTGTATGACATGTTATCGAATTATATTTCGAAAAATATTTACAGCTTATTCAATAAAGTTAAAACAAACCAGCAGGTAGCTTATAAGTCATTATTTTAATTATTTAAATAACTTCATAACCATATTTGCAAACCTAGATAAACTGCAAGTATTTAACGGCAACTAATTAAAATTATGCACAAATTTTTTTCTTAGGTACCTATATAACAAGTATAGAAATTTCTATTTTTGAATTTCTATTTTATGGTTTAAACAAGTTACAACACGTTTAATTTTTGTTTTATAATTTTTAAATATAACAATTTTCTTATTTTTACACTTTATATTTTTATTATGTCTAAAGCATTACCTATATCAGCTCACCAAAAGAGGACTGAGACGTTTAAACTGACTTGAGAAAACACTGTAATGTTCGAAATATATAAAATAGTAAATATTCATTTAAATAATTATATATTTAATAGGAAGTACTTAATAAGTATAAGCTATGTGATTAATTATTTCAATAATTTTAAGTTTCTCTAAATACCTACTTGTAAACACATACTAAATTATCAAAATGTACATTCGTGATATAGCTAACAGACATAATGCAATAAGTTTTTTTTTTGTTATTGGTTTTAGACTAATGAAAAATTCAAAATGTTTAAGTGTTTGACATAATATCGAAATATATTTAGAAACACATTTACAGCTTACTCGAAAAACAGCTTATAAGTCAATATTTTAATTATTTAAATAACTTGATAAATATATTAGCAAACTTAGGCGTAGTGCAAATAATTCACGTCAACTGATTAAAATTATGCACAGATTTTTTTCTAAGGTATGTTACACATTATTTAGCTTACATGGCACAATTAAAAATAAAATTCATATTTGATTTGTTATATATTCACCCAATCTTTGAATTAAATAAAACACAGCACACTTATTATAATTAAATAAAACAATGGTATACAATATTATATAAAAAAAATGTAAAACAACAAATGCTTTTAAGGAATTAGTACATTTTGGGCGGCAGTGTAAACGTGACTTAAGAGTATAATTATTATTGTACTATTTTATATTATATTATAGTGCTAGATCAAAGAATTAAAATTAAATTATTTATATAATCATTTGAGAAAACGGTGATTTTGCAACAGTAACTCAAGAAAAAATCGGATACAAAAAATAAAAATAAAAACTTTTCAGATCTGCAATGAAGCTAACAAATGTATTAAAATCTACACCTTATACTAGTAGTAGAAGTAAAATGTCTAATATGTAAACACTAAATACCAATTGGCAATTACATGAAAAATTTGTACTTAAATGCAAGTTAATAATCACACAGTTTAATTACATTTATAATATACTAACACCTATCATATAGGTATGGAATAAGCTACTTATAATATCTAACTCATAACAAAACTAAGTTTATAGTAATGTAAAAATTTAAGTAGGTAAGTAAGTTTAATAATTATGCGTGATACCAGAAAAAGACATTGGGTACAACAGCATGAGATGAGAACAGACTAAATATATTTTAATAGAGAAGAATGGAAGTAATTGGTTTTGGCAGCAAATATTGTTTATAATGTAATAAAAAAAAAAAAATACTAATCAATCTATTAGTTAAATACTATAAGTCATAGTTGGAAGTTCAAAAAATTTCGAATTAATACTTATTAACCATCATACTTCTACTATCGACCAAGCCTTGTGAATGATATCGCGTCGAATGATATCCTCTTCGTTGCGATTCGAATTATTAGCCAAAAAATCCCAACACAGTGATTGTAAATGTTCCAATTCCAAATGAGTAGCTGCACCTAAAATCATCTAAATAATAATATAAATTAATTAAAATTCTTGAATGACAAAACAAATAAATAAATAAGCAATTTACAAGAACATTATCACGAGTTAAGTCTACTTCAGCAGTATACATGTAGTTGACTACATGTTCCAGTGATTCAGCATTTATATTTTTCAACAGCAATCTTTCTTCACGCTTGAACATAGCAGTCTCTAAAATTACATCGCTCATTAAAGCCATCAGTGGCAAATGACCCCATACTTCGTCACCGTTAACGTTAACCAATGCGAAATCCAATAATACCTTTTTCCTAAAACGACAAAAGTACGCGCAATGAAAAAGATAATATAATACAATACAATCGTACACAAAATGAAATCTTTTATAAACAATAGCGGCCGAGTGAGTTAAGTTAGTGCATACTTGCGCATTTCGTTCATTATAGGATCAAATCTGTCAAGAACATAACTTTCTGCAGTCTCATCCTCCATAGCTAAGCCGAGCGATTTACAATAAAATAAAAAACAGAGCAAACAACAAACGGATTATTATTTTACTTTATTATTGAACGGCACACAAATGTAACAACGATTTCGATTTTTTCGTGAACGTTATAATTTACTACAGTAAGGACGCCGAACTGGGCTATCATAAGGACAAGCCAAGCTTTCTTTGTAGCATCCGCCAGTTGCGCTGCCGGGGCACTAATCGATAGTACGGTGGCAATATATATGCGATGGCACAGCTGATCTGAGCTAAAGGAGACGAGGACGCTGTAGAAATATTAAGCCCTTAATATTGAGCCTTTTCCAAAGGAGAGAACACTGCAAAGTTTGCATATTTGTAACCGACTCACTCGCTGCTCAATGTAATCGTCCAACATACAATCTTTTATTAATAGAAAATTTCAAAACATTTGGAATAGCTAATACGTTTTCGTGCAAATAATAAAAACGCCGTAAAAAATATAAACATTAAGATGGAAATGATTTAAATAAAATCATTTTTCTATAAAACGTTTCATGTAAAAAAAAGCGTAACTACGGTTGAATTATAATAATTCAGTAACAGACATTGTAAAATATAATAATAAGTGAAATGAAAAACTAAAAATCACTTTAGATAGTTATTTTTATCAGCACGCATTGCTCTACCTCATTCCACCACCCAACCTAACCTAACCTTTAATAACTTAAAAAGTAATAATCCAAAGCTGATTATGGACCGGTCAAAATTCTCAGCAAATTACTCTCGATTGAATTTGTTTTTTAAAAATAAACAAATTATTAAAAAAAAGTAAAATAGTTAAGTGCAATAAAAAAAGTCGTGTTATTTTAGCGGGAACGAGTATAAGTCAATAAAAAAAAAAAAAAAACCTTAAAAATATTCACTAGAACAAAAGTTATTTCGTTTGTGGGACACTTTGTACATAGCTGATGGTTATTAAACAAATACTGTGTTTCATACTTGAATATTTAAAATTTCCAAGACGAATTCTTTTGTTTTTATTCTCTTAGAAATAAGGGAAAATATTTAAAAGTATAGGAAATGATTTTGCAAATTTTTAGGGGTGACTGCTTTTAAAGGGAATTTTTTTTCCCAATATTGTTGGTAAGGAATCCGTCAATACGGACATAATCATTTAACGTTATCGTAAAATATGTTATGTATATTCTAGCCCAACGAAAACAAAGAAGGAAAAAAAGAAGTGTTCCAACATATAGCTAATGGATACCTTAAGTCCGTTATTATGTTAAAAAAAAAAAACGCTAGAAATACCGAAAAGTCAGCAATGAATATAATAAAAAATTTCTGCTTTAACCCAGGAATCGATTTGTTAAAAGTATATCAAATGTGAAAGTATTGTTACATAAGATACTGAAATTGTTGTAAACATTTAATACAGTGCTCATTAGTATGTTAAGGTCAATTGTTCTTAGTTTTAAATATTATCAATATGTTGTTGTATGCCAATTTTCGACATAGCTTTTTTATTAACTGAACATTGTGGAGAATTCACCACCGGAAAAATTATTATTATCAAAAAATTATATTGTTGATTCAACAGCTAACCATACTTAAACTTAGCTTTTCTCATTACTTTAGTTTCAAACATTTCTTTGAAAAGGTTATAATGAAATTTTGATGATCACCTTATAGCAACAACAAACAATTTTCACGAAAAAAAATAAATAAATTAGTATAAACACCAAGTATAAATAGAGAGTTGATGTAATACAGTGTTCCCCAATTGTTATGGTTTAATATATTATACATATATATATTTAATAATAGTATATACCAGCAATTAACATTGTATTTATATATAATAAAACTTAATGTTAAAATATAATAAATACAATAAAAAAAGTTATAATTAAATTTTTGTGACCACTTTATAGCAACGACCAATTTGTACAATAAAAATAATAAATTAGTTTAATCAAGTTGTAATAATAATACAATGGTATTGGATTGTAATGGGTTACCTCTCATATTACATACCTATCGTTATTAAAATAGGTTTTTTAGGCATGATGAGGAAATCAGTTAAATTAAAAACACAAATAGTATATTTTTTTGTTTATAAGTTTTGAAAATCGGCTTCCTACATAACACAGTAAAGTAACTCGAATTTAATCACATTTGTCTGGGTTTTTGGTCTGAAATAAACCAAAATGGGTTTTGCTCTTAGAATACATTTTATTCAAATTAATAACAATACCTGAAGCTTACATAGATTAACCGGTAAATCAATCGACATGGTCGAAATTTTTTGAATCTCTTTTTACTTATATATTGCCTATACAAAACCCCTTAAAACCGACCGCATGCAATAATAATAATAATAAACAGTCACTATCGAATACTATACAAATTACAATATTATCATTGCTGTATTTACAAACGGTATTAATTTTAAATGGAAAAAATTAAAAAAATAGTTTTCCAAACATAATATAACAATGTGGTCGTCTTGAGTCGAAGGAATTCCAGCAACGGATAGCGCTATTTTTTTAAGGCGCAAAAGATAGGCAATATTTTATACAAATTTATCCAGAAACCGTTTTAGGTATGCCGACTAATTTTAATGTAAACAAATATTAATTATTTCTAGTTATACAACACTTAAAGTTATTTTTCTCCGAGTTATGGAGAAAGTCAATCCATTGGAGGGAATTCAGTTTCGATTTTGTTTTATGTGAGTGTTACTATTTTCTCTGTGGCAGCTAAAGGTCAGATTTTCGATTTAATAATCAGAAAATTAGTTAGATTTATTAGAAAAAATATTATGAAAAAGTAAAAACATAAACCGCTTAAAGAACAATTTTGAAAACAGAAATAAAAAATCCGCCTTTTTGCCCCATAGAGAAGATTTTAGTGTACTTAATAACAAACAATTTATCCACAACTAGTGACTTAATACAACTTTTATGGCAAAAAAAAAAAATGTAATAATACTCAAAGTTTAGCTATTTTATAGTGATTTTATGATATTTAGTTATAATGATTATGGAATACTTGTGATCTCCCCCAACCTAATATGCCTCGATCTTGAGCGATTAAATTAAGTATGTTTGTTTTAAAAAAATATTGGAATTAATAAATTTCTTTTCCTAAAAGTGACTAAAAAAAACTGTCTTTATTTGTTTTCTTAACCTATGGTTTTTTCAATTAAAATAAACACTTAAGGTATGTGTAACAAAAGTATACTGTGTATAGTGTAAATCTAATATGTAAAAATTTGTTTTATATTTTTTTTAAACAGAAAAATCTTTACCAGGGACAAAAAATACTGCCAAAACAAAAAATGAATTGTTTTTTTTTGTGAAATATTTTCCTATTAGAAACATTTGTACAAATAAGAACACTTACGACGAAAACAACAGCAGAAACACACAACAACAGTTTCGTTTTAACAGCAAATGATTTGCAATTCAGACCTACATATAATATATATGTTTATACTTTATAATGCATACTGAGGAAAATTTACAAAAATACCGTCTATAATATTATACAGGTTTTATAATAAAAACCGAAATCAAAAATATTATAAGTAGTATGGTACATTAAAAAAAAAAAAAAAAAAATGTTACAAATAATAGAGTATTTAATACATTTTTTTTTCTATTAGCTTTATACCTAATTAAAAAAATAACGTTACTGTTAAAAAATGTTTCAATAAAACCTACAAAAATAATAACGACCTTTGACATGTTTGAGAACTTATGTTTTATAATTATTAACAAATTTCTAAACACATCCTGAGCTAGAAACATTATTTAAGGTCATATTTAGCTAACGAAAACCCGTCATCTCTTTCAATTTTAAATATTCAAGACGAATTACAAAATTCACGGTTTTTAGCTTGTATTTTGAAAAAAAAAAATGTCGATTCTAGGAGTCAGCCCGTTCATGCTGATTGCCATAAGTTGTCCTTCGACGGTTTCAGACACCCATTCGAGATCTGGGCTACTCGAGATCGGTGAACTACAGTAAGAGATAAGCTAAAACAAGTTTTTAAAAAGCATTATTAAATAAAAATATTCAATATGAAGTGAAATGTACATTATATACTTACCTGCGAATCGTTACATCTCCCACTGGATTTGGATTTAGTCGAAAACACTTGAGAAGAGGAGAAAATGTTGTTATAATATGATATTGTTAAAAATATTGATAATTATTAAATTATATAATATTCTGGTGAAAAATCATTTATTGGTTTTGGATTGCTAATCCGATCGTTTATTTATCAAAGCCGAGTAAGTCACAACAATTTTGTCGAAAACGACTTAAAATAATATTATGTTCTTTGGCTTGTAGACATAATTCTACCACGAATGGAGTGAAGTAAGTTCACGTTTTGTTTGTGTAAAGGGTGAAATTCGTTCGTTTATAAATCTTACCGATGGCGTTAACGGTATATAACATACGGTTTTCCATACAGAATTCTTATTAGAAATATTATTCGCCGAGCACAAAATAATTATTACCATTCACAAATTCGGCCAATGCATATTTTAAACGGGCCTATAAATCGTGTACAAGCTGTGTAATCGTGTGTCATATTAACCTATCGAATTGTACAAACAGGATTTATTATCATTTACACCTACATTTACACCAACGGTCGGGTTGTACATACTATTATTAATGTTAAATGTTGACAGCATGCGAACACACACACACAATCGTGAAGACAGAAGGAACCGAAAAAAAAAAAAAAACAATAAGAAAACGTGAGTGAAATACTAACTTGTTGTTTATTACTTATGCATGTATATTATCATCGTCGTCGATACAATATATAGTATAATATTTTTTTTTTTTAATATTTCAGCGAGAGAAATAAATAATTATCGTATGGAGCCGCGACATTGAAAATATAGTTCACACGCACAAAAATTATAATATCATTTTAATACCTACAATTAATATTATTATTAGCGGTACAAACCGACGCGATCGAATAATACACATAAATATAATATATATATATATTAAGTAACAATATACACTAGCGATGTATAATGATAGGTAATAAATATTATATAGTATAGTAAAGAAAATAGTGTAATAATAATAGTATAATAATTTAAATATAATAGCGGTAATGACAATAATACATATATATATATAATATATTATTGTATTATAATAATTATAGCAAAAAAAAAAATACCTAAAACTAAAAAAAAAAAAAACCAAAATTTTACAAAATATATAAAATATTTATAAGACAAATGTGTGTAAACGTACACTAATTTTTTTCGAAGAGGAAAAAAAAAATTACAATAAAAACAGCGTAACTAAATATACAACATAATAATAATAATAATAATTATGGGGAGGGCACTATTTTAAAATTCTTTTCTTTTTTTTTTTTTTGATAGTTAATTTTGATTATCTTTCACGTTAAAAAAAAAAAAAACAAAAATATCATTACAACTAATTAATTATCTATAACATACTATAGTTTACCTTGTATATAGTTTATGATTACACAGTGTATGCAGCGAAATGTGCGTTAGACAAAAAAACAATAACTATTATATTATTATTTGGTTTTTTTTCTCCGTAATAAAGTAAAAAGCTTTTAAAAAATAACGTTATAATTATTATTTTTTTTTTTTTAAATATACTATTCAAGTATACTTTTTTTATTAAGCTCGTCTGTTAGTGTATGTCAAAAGTCTTTTGAATATTGTCAATAATAATAAAAAAAAAATGTAAAAACACGGTTCAAAGCGCGTATATAAATCACACAGGCACGTGTCGGCGATTTTAATTTCAATTTTTTTGAAAGATCCGAAAAATTTGCAATATTATAAGAAAATATTACACGTTTCAAAAAATGTTTACCACATCTTATAATAATAAAAAATATAAAGCTGTACACAAGCTAGTCTAGTAGTCGGCGTATTAAAAATATATAATAATATAATATATATTTTTTAAAATTCACAAATATAATATGATACACTAATCCGAGGCCAAACGTCGTTTGGCCGCCCCTAAACTAAATAATATTTCGTTAAAAAATAATTTAAAAAAAAAAAAAATGACTTTACTTTTAATCGAAATAAATAATAATAAATTAATCGATCCGTCGAATGGGCGACGACGCGTTAAAGATACTTTGGTTATTTCAATTTTTTATTTTTAATCTTATCATTTAACGGTCGTTGTGTAATAGAATTTTTTTTTTTTGGCCAAAACGCGTTGGCGCTAAACGGTTAAAAAAAATAAATTTAAATTTAAAAAACAAACACAAACAGTAAAAATAATTATCCATCCGTCGACGTTTGTGCGCGTTTCTGTGTGTTTATTAAATTGATAGTTAATATTATTATTATATATATTTTATTTAGTGTGTTTGTGCTGTATATATATATATATATATATGTAATTTTTTTTTTTTTTTTTTTGGAGGGAGTTGCTTTTAATTTTGTTGTTTAACAGCCGTTGTTGCCAGCCAAATGTCTTGCCGCCAACACTGCCATGGCCAAAGACAAACCGATATTGATCCAAGAACAGTCGGTGAACGCCGCTTTGCTGCTGGCCGAAGCTTCTGCAAAATATATTATATATTAATATAAATTTGGATTAACAAAAAAAAAAATCAAAAACGACGGACAGATGTGGTTTTTTGTTGAAATAGTACACGAGAGGCAGCGGCATCAGTCGAACGATATTTAAATTCTTAAGAAAAGAAGAAGAGTGTGGCAATAAGTAATATAATATTGTATTATCAAGTATCGAAAAGGCCAACTGCAGTGTGACCAGAATGACATAAATAATAGCATATTTCTTTGGTATATATTTTGTCCGCATAATTGACAAGCGTTTATGCTACTAAGCAGTGTGTTCAACCACTTTTATATTTTTTAAAGTGGTCACACTGTCGTTCGCCTTTCTCGACCGACTCCGTTGCCGAGCACACGAGGCGTTATAATATGATCTTACAAGTGTTACCACTCTAATTGTAACCTTTGGTTGAACTACTCAATTCGGTCGAACCTAAGGATTTATCTGGGAACAAGTCTTGGTATGTAATATAAATAAGGAGCGAAATATAGTCAATATTTGACTAGAACGTTTGGTGTTAATTTCGTGTAAACAACGAGCAAGTAATTATGTTGTGGTGTATAGTTACTAGGGAAACACTATTGACACTGAACTTGGAATTTTTCGTTTGATTACAACCTGAGAGTTGAAGAATTTAATTGATGTATTGCGCTATATTTAAATTAGATTTAATTTTCTAACGGCACAACGGTTTAATTTCTGTTACTTGGACCAATCGAAACTGGCGATGGCGGTGGCGATGGTATTTTATATTGTCACACGGCTCTGGCCTAAGATAATATAATTATGAAAGGCGCCTCTCCCAAGGAGCACACATCCCCCGTTGCTGCTTGTGGTGCTCTGCTCATGCAAGTCAGGTCGGGCTATTGTGTTAATTTTTACCCACGGCCTACTTAGGTATGTTTAACGATCGTATAACGTCATTATAATACGGCTTACGGGTTATGAATTGATAATGATATAATATATATTTTTCTCTCATTTCGTTCCGGGACAATGTATGTAAGAAGAGAAAAAAAAAACAACCACGTTATTTCCTATGTTAATATATTCTCGATTAACCGCTACTGCCCAAGAAGACGTCCGCAATAACACAACATGTACCTTGTAGATATTTTTCAAATAAAACAATACAAATGTCAACGCCAGCATGACAATGCCAGAAATACCACTCGCCGTTAGAAATGTTTTTTGTTGGATTTTTAACAACCCTCGATGAACGTTAGGTGCGCAATAATTGCACATAGGCATTCCTTTAAAGTTCACACATTGCACCGTCGTTCATTTGGAAATATAGAAAATAACACCAAATTTTATGAAAAAAATAAATTTCAAATTTTGGTTTTTTTCAGGAGACAAAAAACTATTTTTCTAAGTACGTTTTTTTTTTTTAACGAAAACTTTATAGCTTTGCCTAATTTATTGCCATTCATCGGGTTGATTTAATATATAAAATATTAGTTTTTAATTTTAATTTAGACAAAGGAATTTCTTGAAAATCTCTTGGAAAAAACCAAAATTTAAAATTTGGCCGTTTTCTTGGCTAATTTAACCAAAAAAATGAACTTACTCATGTCTAAAAGCTCAAATAAACAAAACCGCCCATAAAGAGTTTTAATGATGTTTTACTGTTTTTTTTTTATTTTTAGTAAAAATCATAAGTGTTCGAACAAATATTGTTATTGAAAATATTTTTACTGTTCATGTTAATTTTCAAGGCTTTTTTTTTTAAACTTTTTTTCCCCCGACAAAGGACTATTGGCTTAACCAATAAAGCTAGGGTTTTATTTTGAACGTGTGTACATTTACTGTGGTTCGCTCGAATGAAAAGCGTTTTAATTTCCCATAGTGAAGGCAAACACGCTTTCGACCACAGCTATCACACGTGCGGCGGTTGATGTCATCGTTTTTCAACGAGTAACAATACTGTTATCTGCTTTGGGGACGACGCCTTGAAATATGATATATTGGCTCAGCCGGAGAGCTTTACCTACAATTATCACAAATTACATCACACAGTGCGGATTGGTTTTTTCCCCTGTCGACTAGGTGATTTGTTAAAACACTCCACATAATATTTTATCTACGACCAACCCAGCAAAAACCCGTCCAAAGGTGTGGCGCGTGTCTCGTTCTCGAGTGGATTAAACACACAATATTATGCCAATATCTTTATCGTTCGACTGCCTTTGCAGGCGACACAACAACAACACTGTATTATAGTACATTATTATTATCTAAAAAAAAAAAAAAAAAAAACATATTTTCTACGATGCGGTGCTGACGGCATGCCATAGCTTTTTGTCTCGTATCGATTGCAAACAATAAAAAAAATAAGAGCGGTTAAAAAAAAATAAGTGTAATATATCCCCAAGCGATCGTGCCCAAACACCACCAGGCTGTGTATATACACGTGTACTCACTCTGTATCTTAACTCGACCCTGGTCCAGTATTTCGTTGGCATCTTCGTCTCCCTTGGCACCTAAGAGTTGCGGTCTCCACCCTACAATGGGGTATAATAACGTGTGTAAGCGTGCAAAATTACAAAATAAAAAAAATATATAACATGTTTGAAATAAAAATATAAAAGCGCAAACAACAACCGATACCTAATTTATGGCTCGATATTATCATTCGTTAAATATCGAATCGCAAATTTAATTAACATGCGCGTGAACATAACAAGTAATGTAAGTATGATAATGTAATAGTACTCAGTAGGTATTATAATATATTTTACACACGAGTGTGTTATGCGAGTAAACGAAGCGTTACCGTCAAAGTGTCAAGATGTGGACCGTGTTGGACTCGATCTGAGATGTTAACAGACAAGTCTTGTACTTTGTCGCAGTTAGAAACAACATCTCGACAAATAGGTCAACCCTCCTCCAGTTTCCCAATCGACTCTGTCGTACAGTGTTCAGATAAGTCGACTGACGAACAACTGTCTTGATTTACTGTTTTAATTTTACCCACACAACAAGTGTCCGCCACACTGTGTTTCCATTTTACCTATCTTTATAGCCATTAGTGTTTGCCACTACGGGGCCCCGGCCGGCCCGTAACCCGTCGGACTAATTAACGGTCTACCGAATAGAACAAAAAAAAACACCTAGAATTTCAGAAACGGGTATTTCAGTGGGTAACCGCTTGTCGAACGACGCTTACAAGATTGATTCCGATGACGCGCAAGCCCGCGGTTATTTATTTAAAGACTAGTCACGACCGTCTTGTATATATATATATATATTATTATACCCTCGTCTACTGTCCAACGGTCGGCAATGCCATCAGTTAAGATATTGTACTTAACGGCCGACGATCATAGCGGTTTACCCGGACGGTTATTAATTATCCGCTACCCGAATGTGTCGTCGTCGTTTTTGGAGACGTCCAACGAACACCTCGAAAGAGAGAGGGCAACAGAGCAGATCCAATTGAGATGATCAGAGTGACGACAAACGACGGTCACAAACACTTCAACGTTAACGCACGCCCAATACAAATTATATAAAGCTAGCCGGCATCTGTTTGGCACGTGTGTTTTTTTGTACAGAGTATATTATATGTGTACACACGAAAGTTCGCTACTCAACAGCTCCGTCGCGTCATGCTGGCTTACCGGAAAACACGGCGTCGGTGGACCATTCGGACCAACCCTGGACGTTCCTGGCCCGAGCCCTGACCACGAACGTGGCAGCCGTGAACATCACGTCGTTGTGCTCTTCGGGGTCGCTAAAGATGTACTTGAGTTTGTACCGGCGTTCGTCGGCCGTCGGGTCTTCGGGTTCGGTCACCTTGGGCGAGTGCTTCACGTTGATCCAGTCTTGGTCCTGTTTTGGGGGGGGGGCAGGGAGGGGCAGGGAAAAACAACGTAGCGTAAGTCCCGAGTCCGCATAGGCATGTGGGACGGGGGCGTGACGTCCCCATCCCCGTTTCATTCGAGTATATTACCTGCTGCCGTTTGTACTGCACTTGGTATTCCAAAACCGGAGACCAACTGTCCAACACCCAAACCAATTCGGTGTTGCGGCCACTTTTCTTGTCCACGTCGTTCGAGTCCATCACCTTGGTGATTTCCAAAGTCGGTTTGGCCGGAGTTCCTGCAATCATCAGTCGGCCGCGTGGATCAATAACGATCGGTACAGTCAAATCACTGCTGTGCGCTACGCTGTATACGCTTGCTTACCCGTAAGCACGATGTCTTCTCCGTAAACGACGCCGTACTTGTTTTCGGCGCGACACCTGTACTTGCCGAAGTCGTCGGTGGGCCTGATGTGCTTGATCTTCAGCTGGTAAGAATTGCCGTTACCGTATCCGCCGCCCAGCTGCCTGTTGATTTCGTACCGGGAACCGTCGGCCGAACCTTGGACGGTCGGTTGCGCCTGGATCGGTACTTGATCTTTTTCCCAGGACACCTGACCAAATAATAAAACCGTTTTCACAACGGACCGACCTGATCACCAATGCGTTGTGTACGTACCTTGGGTTTGGGATGCGAACGGACAGTGCAGGTCAGGATAGCCGAATACGTCTCGCCGGTGTTCACCGTGGCTTTGGGCACGACTATCTCGGGCGGGTCTGCCAACACACGGGGGAATTTATAATTATTATTATTAGTGTTGACGATTTTAAAGCACTATAGGCGTGCACCGAGTGTGACACTGTGTGCGGCGCTGCTACTCACATTCTACTTCCAGTTCGATGCCACGACGTTCGGTGTTGTCCGCGTTGGTGTTGTTCGTCAACTTGTTCTCGACTTGACACTCGTAGTAACCGGCATGGGTGGAAGCCACCGACTCGATACGGACTTCCGGGCCCATCGCTACAATCGCAGACTCGGTTTCGCCGGTACCCGCCGCACCGTTGGTTCCACCTCCGAATCTGCTCACCTGCGACGCCGAACCGACAAAAACCCCGATTAGAAGAGCACTCTCAATTAACCCCCTCCCCCCCCCCCCCGTGGTCTCTCACCTTTGTCCACTTGACGGTGGGCACGGGAAATCCGGCGACCAGGCATTTCAAGATGACGGGTTCGCCCTTCTTGACGACGGTTTTCTTGCCGTGCGGTTCGATGTCCACGATACGTGCCGGATCTGTAAAAGCGACGCGCGTTCATATTTGTTTAACGTATCATTTTTTTTTTTTTATTAATTAAATCCGGCGACGGCGACACTGGAACCGCGGCCTGTTCTCGTTTCGAAGCTATTGATAAAACCTTACCTTAGATTTACACGATCATGATACACTACAATCCGGATGATCATTATACGGTACCCTCGGGTTGACGAGGCTTGGAAAACCGGTAGGTCACTCGGCGCAGACACAACAACAACAACTGTGTGTGTTCAGGTATAGCTAATAACGTCGGTACCGTATGTATTCGTACTTACGGGTAATGCGGAGCTCGTGGGTTATCGTGACCGGCGTAGAGCTGGTGATCTTGCAAGTATACGTGCCGGCGTCCTGCGAGGTGACAGAGTCAATGACTAGAGTGTAGTCTTCCTTGGTGGGATTGCGTTCGGTATGAACGCGAGGGTCCGACGTGATTCTGTATTCCTCGGTGAAGATGGTCTTGGTGCCGTTCAGCCAAATCATGGCGGTGTCTGTGACTGTAAAACCGACAAGCGAATTTTCATTATTACAATGGGAAAATAGCATAACTGACATATATTAAACGGTCCCCGTGTGTACACTACCCCAACAACCTAGTATGAAGAAACTACAACACAATCGGTGGTCTGTTTTATGTATTTGTTACTGAGTTTACAAGGAGAAGTCGTCTCGCGACGATCGTTTATTTAAATCATAGGACTTATAATGGAAATACTGCGAACGAAAAGCTGAAAAAGCATACTGCAAATGTGTTTTATTTTTTAATTTCTTGTAATTTGAATCAATACCAGAAATAAAAATTTTTAAAAATGTCCATTCAAAAAACCGCAATCAGTATAATATGTAAGAAACCGAGACCACTTTAACTCGAATAATCAAACTAAGAAAGTAAAATGAAAATTCGAGATTTTTTAATGATATTTTGGCTAGAAATCAAATATTAATGACACACATATTTTTAGAATATAACTAATAATTCAAAAGCCAAAAATATTATTATGTATTTTTATTCGTTTTTAAATGACTGTCTAACACAATTTAATACATAACCAGAAGGTTTTTATAATATGAAATGAGTGCGAAAAAACAATTCGCCTCAGCGGATTACCATCGAGTGAATGTGCAAAACGCCAACTCATTAAACTGCAACTGCATTAAAATAGCTTCAAACGACAAGAAGAGAAATAGCAAGTCCCGAAAAAAAATGTTGATTAATTGCAGCCGACCAGCGGATACAAATGTGGTAAATGTAATTGAGCGGCGTTAATAAATTGAAAATGCTTGCCAAAAGGAACATGGCAAACTCCTCTATGAACGTACACTTTGCACACGGAGTAACATCACAAGTAAACAATACAGCCAAAAGTAGAACGGCAAATAAAAATAATTGTGATTGATTTCAAGCCAACCAACAGATTTTTGTATCGTCCCTATTTTGCTGAATATTTTTTTTTCTTTCCTTTTTAGAGACAACTGACAATATGTAGTCTAGTAGTCCTCCTCGGTTTATGACCTTTTTTACAGTAACCGATGATACACATTGGCGGTTAGTAAAATAAACAACATACAAAAAAAATAGTTAATCTGAACATTATTACATATTTTCCATTATCGCTAAACGATAATGTTTACTTGTCGTTGTGTTATCGCCGAATTTAATGGCCATCAGTAATTATTGTTGTCAAAAACCAAGACGGTGCACCGAATGGAAGAAACTCAAGCTAACAAGATAATAATAATATGATCAGCACCGTCATCAGCCTTTAGTCGTTTGACATGTCATGTTCGTCATTAGCATTGTGTAATCGAATTTCTGTCGTTAATTGTTATTTTTTAACGTTACTGAAATTTTCCAAGAAAAATAATTCAGTATTTCCTCCGAAAAAAACGGGGTTTGAGTCTTGGTAAAAAAAAAACGGCAGTAAAGTAATAGAAAAGGAGAAACGATTTAAACTAAAGTGCACACGTTGTACTCCGAAGATAATACTAAAAAAAAATTGTTGTACTAAATATGATCCGATTGAAAACAGTCATATTTGATGACACATAATGTAGAAAAGGTTCTGGTATAAAGTAAAAAAGAATGTTTATTTAAAAACAGTTATTTAAAATAGGCGAATTTGAAGAATGAAGAATACATTTTAAAACAAATAATTCGACAACGGCAGTGCACGTTTTTAGCGAATTAGTACAAACCACAACGAGAACAGACATTCTGTCTCTTGTCGACTGATTCTTTTATCATTTATCAATAATTTCTTATCGGCTATCCAGAAATGATCGATTTCCCCTCTTATCACCGTGCAATCCTTTCTTCCTCGTGCATACTCTAAATTATCATTCCATTCCCTCGCCTCCCTTTGTGTCAGTATGTGAAAATTCGACTCTTTAGCGTATGCCGTTGGCCGGGACCGTGAAAATCACAAGGTTCTGGGTTGGAAACGCGACTTGTGTCATAGAAAACATTCTCGTCCTATTGTCTCAAACTAGACGATGGGCCTGCGGATGGATGAATCGCATCAGGACAACATGGGGGGGGGGGCTGCATGCTGGCTCAGACAAACCGACATGCAAGAATATTGACTCACGTGGTCTGTCCACTTTGCACGGCAACCTCACGGTAGTGCCTTCGGCGGCATCCACGTTGAGTCCTATGGTCAGTATGACCGGCAATTGTCCGGTTCCTCCGCCGACGTTTCCGTCTTGTCCGCCGTCGTCGTCTTCGTCGTCGGTGCCTTCGCCGTCTGCCATGTAGTCGTCGTCGTCGTCGACGATCGGCTGGTCTTGTTTGTTGTCTTTTAATTGGTTTGGTCGGCAGTGAACTGAAAAAAAAAAACAGAAAAACAAAACGCACGATCAGAAATGTGTGTTTTTTAAAAACATTTTACAGGGTGGCGGCACGAGAAGATTATAAACTTTCGGCGGGTCGAAGCGCGTCGAAAAAAGCGAATCTTCCACCGAGGTGGAAGGTCGTGGCGTGGCTGACCTCGAGGGCACGCATACGCATCAGCACCTCGAGAAATGTGCGGCTGTTGGACAGCGTGGGCGTCGGCAAAACATCAAACGACCAGTGAAACAACTGGCTGCACATATTATATATATATGATACACGACGTTCATTTACTACAAGGTGTGCATGATTATTATTATTTTTTTTACCATCGATTCATTCGGCTGCGGTTGAAAAACACTACGGCCGGGATACGTGTGATGATTGCGTTCGCGTGGCCATGCCGATTGTTGTGTTCTCCAATATCAGTGTGCGTAGTAATTAACCATTGCGCGCACACACACACTCGGTCGTGTGATAATAGTAATAACAATAGTAATGATACGAATGGGAAATCAAATGAAACATAATTTATTGTTATCGGACCGCGTGTGTCGGCGGCGGCGCGGCGGCGGCAAACCACCGCTCCATTGTCGTGCGGGCGTCGGTCGAATCTTTTGTTTTTTTCCCTATAAGGGTACACCGGCGATCACGATTGTTATTATTACATTGAAGTCACGACCGCGGTCCGAACCGTACCATACCGGATTAATTTAATAAACGCTGCCAATCGCTCGTGAGAAGTGTTCGAAAATCTGTCAATAATGTCGCAGATTAGATCCAACGGGGGTCCCTATATTTTTGCTTCTACTTTCCAATCACACCGGGGTCGATGAACCCCGACCTCCCCCCCCCCCGCCCTCCTTCACGGTGTTCGACCGATTAGGGACATAATTAACATTGAATTTATTCGACGGTTAACTCGCCGGTTCGTTTTGTAGCCGTTGTTATTATGTAATAAAAGATAACCGACGTTCGACATGATGATTTATACTAGGATCGGGTCGGCGGGTTGGATGCGGCAATAAAATCTTATCCGGCTGCTCAATGTCAAGAGGCTGATAAACAACACCTTTGTATCCAAAACGTAACAGTTCACTGATGACGGACAAAATCGACCAATTTGACGGTCCGTTAAAATCTAATGCACTAATAATCGATAGAAGCTGCAATTGACAACTCTCGACACGCTTTGTGCATGCAATCCGAATGTGAAAGAAAACCGCTTTTTCCATTAGGCGGATTGACTCGCTCAACGCGTTATCTTCCGCGGGACCTTAAGAAACGCAAGTGGCTTCCGGATGAGATAGCAAACTAGCCGGTCACGGATTTGGTCTGTGGAGGTTTTATACACTTATTCGCCGATTTACTCAGTGAATATGGCTCTGGATTCAATTCAGCGTGCTCGACGCGCATTTTCTTTTGGATCTCTTCACAAGCGACGATAGGGGGGGGGGGGTTCGGCCATGAACTTTGTCGTGAACGCGTTTCCGAAAGGTTAACGAGTAGGTACGGGGACAGCGATCGGGTAAAGAATGGCATCGGATGCCCTCGTCTAAAGGAATCTGACTTGTGTGCCTCCGGACAGCGTGACACGGTGCTGTGTGACAGCCGAGCGCGATGATGCTGCCGCATTGGCCTCGGCGAGTATTCGAAAAATGTTTTCTCTTGTGTGCCCGGCGCACGACCGAGCCCGCTGTTTTGACCCTCCCCGCCGGCGCGTTTTGCCAGAAAGAAAATTCCACGTTATTCCACCCGGGCAAAACACACTTGTTATCTCGGATCCAATTAGCCGACGCACAATTACGCGGTTCTCGGCTTGCCGGGCAACTCGTGTGTCGGACAACGCACAGAGACGTCCTACTGTATGTATAGCCGAGGAAACCGTCGTGAACCGGGCTGGGTGTTTTTTTTTTTTTTGGGCGCGTGTCAACACGTGGGATTTTAACTAACTCGGAATTAATTTTAAAAACACGACCAAAGCACGTTCGTGGATAACAAGCGCCAGGCCACACAGCCACGTTATATTGTACACGTAGTAGCTCGACATTTTGTCACCAAGCGAACCGTTAAAAAAACACGATTTTCACACAAATGACTTGCTTCGAGTCGGTCGGATGGAAAAAAAGTTATAACGTAAACGCGTTTCCGCCCGGACATTTGGGTGGGGGGGGGGACAAGTCTTAACCGTGTTCTACAGCCCTCGGGGGAGGGTTGAGAAAGGGGCAGGACACGTTAGGGGGTGACTGCCCTTTGGAGCAAAATTTATTTGACACGCGAGTTCACCGTCACGGTAACAACGTTCGGTCGTTACCTAAAAACACAACTATGTGCACGGTGGTTCAGCAATATTATGTGAATATATTATTACTATAACGACCCGACCGTGCCATGTCGTTTTACTTGTTTCCACCGGAGAAGACACACACACGGCATACCGTAATCATGTACATATTATTTTTGTCCCGATTGAACTATACTAGGAGGAAAAGACATTTTTTCGAATCAATTACATTACAATGTCATGTCGCCCTCCATGCGGGAGAGAACGGGTCACGGCTCGAGTTGGTTGGCCAATTACACATATTTATTACTGGAGAATAAAATTAAGAATTCTCGTTCGAACAGCCTTTTGGCCGGCACAAGGGAAAAAAAGACAATAAACCGATGATTTCCGTCCAAGTATAATGTATCATATTGTCAGACACGCAAAGGGCGGATGACTAACTAATAGGTCGGTCGTGCGATTCTTCGGTGGTTAGTGTGCGGCGTGCGATCGATACCGCCGCTTATACCAGAGATACTATAATGCACTACTACTACTAAGGCTAATATAATAATAATAATAATATAATACAGTAACGACACGGTGTTGTTGTATTATATTAGTATGTTATAGAGGTGTATTACTTTTTTTTGTTACCGATATCCCGTTGCTGCACTCGGGCGAAAAATGGGCGTTGTTGGTCGTCACGAACGGCTGAGGCCGTCAATCACAAAAAGAATAAAAACCGATCATAGACACGGGGACGTTAATCTTTTCTACCGCACCCCGCAAGACCTGCCTGCCCGGGCTCGATGATATTCTATTACCGTATCATCGGCGTGGTTAGAGGTATATATCTACGACGGCGTTTTCACGGCCATTTATTCCATCACACCTGCTGGCCGGACGACAAACCGCAACGGTAAACCGCCTAATGTTCGTTTGGAATTCGCCAAGACAACAAAATATCGCACACGCTGACCACGGCTCCATTAACCCGCCCCATTCGACGACCTATGTATTTTCGCCAGACGATAATATTGTTGCTAAGGTCGCGCGGCGTTTGGGCGTTGTAGGTTTGCCCCGAGAGTGGCAGAACGTCAGGGCGTTGGCTGACATTCGATAATAGCGCATTAGGCACACACGGGATATATGGTATCGTTTGCCGGTGTAGCGCGTGCAAAGGCTGTGCGGTTAAGTAAAGTAAGTCGCACCACTAATGGTTTCGAGCAAGTCAAAACAACTGGGCGTGGGCTTGACCTCGGGAAGACCGACCCGGCAACCTCCTATAGAGTTCACGGGAGCTTCCAACGGGGTACCCGACCGACGCAGAACACACACACACACATTTCAAGATCTTAGAAAAAAGGCCGTATGCCTTCTACTGGGCAAAACCGGTGAAAATTAACAACGCGTGTAATAAACCCGGTAATGTGACGGCAGCACGACCTTTGCCGGTTTATAATATATATATATTTATTATAACGACCGTGCCCGAAAATAGAACTCGACGACGATGATTTAGAGGGCAAAAGTGCACGTGGCTCACCGCGGAGAGAAGAGGGCGCGAGCGGTAAATATAGAAGTGTGTCCAGGTTTAAAAATATTATTTTCTTATGGAACACACACACACACACACACAATCAGGTTGGCCAAATTAACGATTTGTATTGACTAAGATTTTTTTTTATTTATTGATTCTCGAGTTCCCGAGTCGAGTTACACCATAACGCGATATTACACTATACCACCGGTATAGCATCTACTACGGATTTAACCGAGTCAATGTCTACAATGCTATGAAAAAATGCGTTACAATTATTTTACAGCCAGCTATCCGTGTTTACACGTCACACTGGTTTCTATTAACGACGCGGCAGTACATTGTTGTTCATCGAGGAATTGAAAACATAATAATAATAAATTAAATAAACTCACAATGAAATCGAAACGTGGAAATCTAGTCGCGCCCTGAAATTTAACACTTTTGGACTGAATTGAAATTTGCACAAGTGTTCGAACAAATGTGGCGTTGAAAAACAAAACGGTTTTTAAACCAGGGCAAAGTTTTAAAAACGTTTGTAATATGTTGTAAAATAAGTTTCCAGCAATTCCACGGTAAACCAGGCACGAGTAGAAATTTAGGTTAGGTTTACTATTTTTTTTTTACTTTTTTTTATAAACAACTGGCGCGGAGTCATCTTAACTGAGATTATTCTTATCGGAAATTAAATATAACCGAATTAGTGAAGCTGTGACGCGTTACCAAATGTGATCTCTTGACACAATTTCTAGCCGATTAATCAAACGGTTCAAAAACAAAACGATTAAAACATTCAATCGGCACAGTTAGATAATGAATTTACAAGTTCCAAATTGGAAATTTCCAAAGCTACATATAACACAATGAACTTGGGAGGGCCAACTCTAACCGTTAGGTTCAAACGGATTGGAATCCTCTTGACCGTTTATCAAAAGCGAAACGTGTTAAGTAGTTTACAAGCAATTAAACATTTTTTAATTTTTTTGTCAATGCGCTGTTGTAATATAAACCGGCCTTGGAGATACGCGCCTCTCTCGTTAATTGGTCGACCGCAATAATATTATTTTTCACCAAAAAAAAAACGCCTACGCCGACGTCGTAAAGGTCAACCGGACTTATCTGTGTTAAGTGATAGCGTTATATGGACGTTTGTTTTTTTATTATAATTATATAGGGCGTGTGC